GCCCACCTTGGCCTCCCAAAGTGCTGGGATTACAGGTATGAGCCACTGCACCCAGCCCCAGAAGGACAGTTTGACACCATAACTTCAGAGAAGAATCCGGCCAGAGATGGCCAGACTCCAGGAGATTACCTACCCACCCCATCCCTGATTCAGCTCCCCTTCCCACTGAGAGTCACTTTCAAGAGTAGTAAAATTCCCCACAGTTGCGATTCTTCAATTAGTTCGTGAGACCTCATTTCTCCTGGATGCTGGACAAGAATTCGGGAGCCATGAATGGGAACGTAAAAGGTTGTCACACTGACCCTTTGCTGTCACTGGCGGATGGCAGCGACTTCATGCAAAAAGTCAGAGGACCCACTTAGCTGATAACACACCATCTGTGGATGGCAGAGCTAAAAGAGCACTGTAACACACCCTCTGGGGCTTCAGGGGTCACAAGCACCCCCCACAGAGGCTGCCATGGGGCCAGCAAGGAGTTGGTTCCTGCTGACCCCCCAAAGCACTTGCCCCAGCTCCTGTACCCATTCCCCTGTGTACCTCCTCCAGCAAGGGGTAGAACGCAGTGGGTCTGAGTGAGTGGAGTTCACTCCCGCTGGCGCCGGAGTGGCCAGCTGACTCCAGTGCTCCTGTCTCCCAGTTCCTGCCTCATTCACCCGTGCACTCCCTCCCACAAGGAGCTGAGAGCTGCAGGCTGAGTACACGGGGCACCCCCTTCATGAGTCCTGCAAAAGGGTCAAGGAAATACCCTACTTCAATTAGGTCGTGGGGATGGATTTCCTCCTTGCTGTTCTCATGATACTGAGTGAGTTCTCACAAATAAGGTTGTTTACAAGTATGTAGCACCTTCTGCTTTACTCTCTTCCTCCTGCTCCGGCCACGTAAGACATTCCTGCTTCCTCTTGGCCTTCCACCAAGATTGAAAGTTTCCGGAGGCCTCCTCGGCCGTGCTTCCTGTACAGCCTGCAGAACTCTGAGCCAATTAAACCTCTTTTCTTTATAAGTTACACAATCTCGGCCGGGCGCGGTGGCTCAAGCCTGTAATCCCAGCACTTTGGGAGGCTGAGGCGGGTGGATCACGAGGTCAAGAGATCAAGACCATCCTGGTCAACGAGGTGAAACCCCGTCTCTACTAAAAACACAAAAATTAGCTGGGCATGGTGGCGCGTGCCTGTAATCCCAGCTACTCGGGAGGCTGAGGCAGGAGAATTGCTTGAACCCAGGAGGCGGAGGTTGCAGTGAGCCGAGATCGTGCCATTGCACTCCAGTCTGGGTAACAACAGCGAAACTCCGTCTCAAAAAAAAAAAAAAAAGATGACTAAGACCCTGTATCAACTGCAAGTGACAGAAAAACCAACTTATAAGGCTTAAACAATGGGGATTATTCTGCCCAGCAACAAATCTAAAAGTAGGATGTTTCCAGAATTTGTTAATTCAGCAGCTCAGGACCAAGTCTTTTCCATATTTCCACACTGTCATACTCAGACGAATGCCCCCATGGACACAAGCTGGCTGTCACACAGTTCTAGTCATCATGTGCAGACTTGCTGGCATCTACCAAAAGAAAAGGGGCTATTTCTTTTCTCCGACGTCTTTTTAAAGAAAGACTGAACAAATGTTTTTCTCAGAATGCTCCCTCAAGCAAACTTCCCTTCCCAGAATCAGATTACATGCCCACCCTTGAGCCACTCATGGACCAGGAGAATGGCACCACCATGCTTGGCTTAGACCAATCAGAACTCAACCGTAAGTCACGTTAGAGAGCGGGAACAATAGAAGATAATGGAAGGAAGGAAAACAATCAACAGAGGCTACTTCAGACCCTTTCTGTATCTGAAGGGGTGCAATCTGAAGAAACAGACAAAAAGACGCTGGCCCTAAGTGGCATTCTCCAAGCCCGCTCGTCTTTTCCTCCATTCTCCGACCTGACAGTCAGTCTTACTAACCCCAGCTGTAGACCCTTCCATAAGGACCTGGTTTTTATCTCTCCACTTCCCTTTTTGTGATTTACACTAATTAGTAGCAGAGTTGGCTCCCAGCCTGGTGTTCTCACTGCTAAATCAAGATTTTAAACACATGAAACTTCCTGGTGACAGAGGACCCTAATAAACAAAGACAATTGTAGGCAACAGGCCCCTGCAATAAGGCAGCTTGAGGAACAGCTTGTGGGAGAGGTAAGCTCAGAAGATAAAAGATAAGAACTCATGCAGTATTGCTCAGGATCATAACCCGTTTTTGTTTTAAAAAAGGATTTCTTTTTTTTTTTTTTGAGACAGAGTTTTGCTCTCATTACCCAGGCTGGAGTGCAATGGAGCAATCTCGGCTCACTGCAACCTCCGCCTCCTGGGTTCAGGCAATTCTCCTGCCTCAACCTCCTGAGTTGCTGGGATTACAGGCACATGCCACCTTGCCCAGCTAATTTTTTGTATTTTTAGTAGAGACGGGGTTTCACCATGTTGACCAGGATGGTCTCCATCTCTTGACCTGGTGATCCACCCACCTCGGCCTCCCAAAGTGCTGGGATTACAGGCTTGAGCCACTGCGCCTGGCCTTAAAAAAGGATTTCATGCATTGTCCTTTTGTGTGCTGAGTGGAAATTTGCAATAAGAAATAGCGAGAAAGGACAAGTATAATTTATTTATAATGTATCTTTCTCTTGCCAACTTCCCTGGGCCTCTCCATAACTGCCAGTCTACATACAAAAAAAAGGAAAAAGGTCCATTTTCTATTTTCATCTGTAGTTTTGTTAAATTTACATCGTTAAGTGCAGCTCTTCTTTACACCAAAAAGTGCCTATTATTTAAGATGCAGTTGGTATGTAATAGATACTTGAAAAGAAAGTTTTTTCTTCCTTTTGTCTTCCTCTAATGCTAAAGGAATGTATGGGTCTGATTTATATTCCTCCCACCCACCTTTTTGAACACGTGTTCCTGACAGAGAATATCCAGGTGGCCTGGTACTTGGAAACTTGTCAGATGTTATTCAAAGCAATAAAGAACACATCATGCAAGTCTTCGGCATATTGTTACAGGGAAGCCCTGTTTAGAATCCACTAATTGGGAATTTGTGATAATTTGAGGAAGGGCTGGCTGAAGTTAACCTTTGTGCTATCTATGAAAAAAGAGTTCACGGAAGTTCTGAATAGTAGTGTAAACAAAATTGGAAGGGGAATAATTATCTATTTAGAAGAACCAGTTGTTTTGAAAAGCTTTAGCCGTATTCTTTTACATACAAACAGGGTAATTATGATTTAAACAAAAGCTGGCCTGTTTCTTAGGCTTCTTTGAAATGTCAATTAAAAATTACTCATATCTATTCACTAAGCCAAAACCCACCCCTGTGTACCAGGCAACAGTTGGTTAGCTTGCTTCCACTTTCTGTATTTGAAAATAATAAACCTGAAGTTCTTTTAAAGTACTGTAATTTAATTCAAGCTTTTCACTGATCTAGATAGTCGGTCCCTCCTCTAGCGTGGGTGAGGATTTACTAATTCCTAGCATACAACTGGGACGCATGGAGTGATACTGCTCAGTGGTATAGCTGCATGATAGGAGAAAGTCTACAAAGGAAACTACTCTGGAGCCATGACTTCTGCTCTTTATCTTTTTTTTTTTTCTATTTTTAAAAATGTTTATAGAGACAGGGGTCTTACTGTGTGGCCCAGGCTGGTCTCTAATTCCTGGGCTCAAGTAATCCTCCTGCCTCAACTTCCTAAAATGCTGAGATTGTAGGTGTGAGCAACTACGCTCAGCCATTTTCTCTTACCACACATAATAAGAAATACATTTTACATTGCAATTCAGCACACACATGCTTAATAATACTTACCCTTGTTATGTGTGATATGCTGTTACTTTCTGTATATTATTTTTATTTATTATTTTTTTTAGACAGTCTCGTTCTGTTGCCCAGGCGGGAGTGCAGCGGCACTATCTGGGCTCACCGCAACCTCTGCCTCCCAGATTCAAATGATTCTCCTGCCACAGCCTCCCAAGCAACTGGGATTACAGGTGTGTGCCAACATGCCCAGCTAATTTTTGTATTTTTAATAGAGACAGGGTTTTTGCTGTTTGGTCAAGTTGGTCTCGAACTCCTGGCCTCAAGTAATCCACACAGTTGTAAGTCACCACACCCAACCAACATTCTGTTTATTATTTATCAAATGCAAGTCACGACCCACTAAAATTGATTTCACAATCTGCTAATGGGTTGTCATTTTCAAAACACTACTAGAGTAAGCCAGAAGATAAAGGAGTGGCACTGGGGAAGAGTCGTAGCTGCTATCTGTTTTTTTTTTTTTTTTTTTTGAGACAGAGTCTCCTTCTGTTGCCCAGGCTGAAGTGCAGCGGTATGATCTCAGTTCACTGAAGCCTCCACCTCCCAGGTTCAAGCAATTCTCCTGCCTCAGCCTCCAGAGTAGCTGGAATTACAGGCACCTGCCACCACGCCTGGCTAATGTTTTGTATTTTTGGTAGAGACAGGGTTTCACAGTGTTGTCCAGGGTGGTCTTGATCTCCTGACCTCGAGATCCACCCACCTTGGCCTCTCAAAGTGCTGGGATTACATGCGTGAGCCACCGAACCTGACTGGCGGCGCTAGTTTCATGAGCCAACTCCCACCCGACCAGCTGTGCACCTGGTTCACTGATCCAGTTCCAAAGCACCTGCCTATGCTTTTGCTTCTCATCCTACCATGCTTCTGCCTTGTCCCTTTTATTTGGTACAATTCTCTCCTTGGCTTTGGATAATCCTTCCAGCTATGTTTAACCTGTTTTTGGTTTCATGTACTCACAGTTTCATGTACTTAATCCTATAGTATGGAGAACCCCTCTCCCCATTCTATAGGATTTGTAATTCTCCCACACTTAATCCTGATTCCTTTTTCCTATAGGCAGTCATCTTCAGCCCCCCAACTCTTCTAGTCCTATGAATGAGACCAGGAAAAGTAGCACTCTTTGATATAAATGACCTTTTGGGTAATAGTGTCATTGTTTTCTATTCTAGATCTACAAGCAAAACATTTGGGGGCACAGGGCCTTACTTCGTTATCTGGAAAATCGCCATTGTCCACATCCAAGAGACCCTGGTGAGGCCGTATCTGCTTGAACATCATTCATGACTGTGAGAGAAGTGGTGATTAACTTACCTTGAAATCATACTGTTTATCTTCAGATAATGATGAAGGTCATAGTGATTCAGAGTCCAAACTCTGAAGCAAGATGACCTGAGTCTAAATCTTTCCTCTGCAACTTACTGCTGTATTTTAAACTTGGTTCTTGGGTTGTTGCCGTTTGGAGGGAGGGTACTACTTAGGATAGTTTAAGCACGTTGATCATATCAAGCTGGAAATAGAATTGCTCACTAAGTTGTGGATACTGGCCCCTGCCCTGATTCCTCTGCTGTTGATTCCCCAGCTCCCCTAACACCATTTTATATTCATGAATCTCTTTGTATAATATATTGATTCAGCTGCATTATTTGTCAGGTTGTCTGGCACCGTGCTAGGCTATAGAGATACAAAGGCAACAAATTATGGACTATCTTAAAGGGTGGATAAATATATGTAGGGGACAGAGACTTGCAAACAAATGCATTCGTCAAAATGTTAATTAGGCCAGGCGTGGTGGCTCATGCCTGTAATCCAAGTACTTGAGAGGCCAAGGAGGGAGGATCACCTGAAGTCAGGAGTTCAAGACCAACCTGACCAACATGGTGAAACCCTGTCTTAAAAAATAATAATAATAATAATAATAATAAATTTTTTTTAATGTTAATTAAAGACACTGAGAAAGAACTTTTCAGGGCACACTGGAGGATAAGGGAGGGCAAAGTGAGTTCTGTCTGAGAGAATGAAGTGGAGGAGGGTGTCAAGGGGCAAGAAAAGTTTTTGTGGGAAAGGTCGATGCTTGAATTGAATCTCAAAGTTGTTTTGCTATAACCACAATAGGTATGCTGCCTGATAAGTGTATATTCACCCAACAGGTTCCTCCTGCTTGCTGCCTAGATAAAAATCAATTCACTAAGACCACAGCATTGCAGTAAAGAGTTTGACACTGAGGCTGGCCATGCAGAACTGGGGTTATCACTCAAATCAGTCTTCGAAAAGGCTTCAGGGCTAGGGTTTTATAGGTAAACTGGTGGGCAGGGGTCTAGGAAATGGGTGCTGCCAATTGACTGGGGATGAAATCACAGGAGTGTGGAAAATAGTCCTCATGCACCCCATCTGCCTCTGTGTGGGGTCACAGGATCAATTGAGTCATGAGTCACAGATCTGGGTGGGGTCAGTCTGAAAGACATCTCAAAAAACCAATTTTACGTTCTACAATGATGATGTTTTATATACAGGAGCAATGAGGATAACACAAACCTTGTCATCTCAGGCCACATGACTCCTAAGCAGTAAGGGTTTACAGAAACTATGCTTACATCTTATCAGAATTCAGGATCCTCTCATAATCCTAATTTTGTGGTCTTTCGTCAGTTTTACAGAGGTGGTTTAATTTGGGGAAGGGGTATTATCAACCTTGCTTTAAGGTTAAACTGTAAATTCCTCCCAAAGTTAGCTTGGCCTATGCCCAGGAATGGCTAAGGACAGCGTAAAGGTCAGAAGCAAGATGGAGTCAACTGTATCAGATTTCTCTTACTGTCACAGTTTGGCAAAGGCAGTTTCACATGCAACAAGTCAGTACACTGAGACACCAGGCTGCAGCAGGGAAAGGTTTAATCATAGGTCTGCCAAATGAGGAGATGGCAGGCAACCTCCAATGCATCTCCCTGAGGATTTAGGGGCTAGGTTCTTTTTTGTTTGTTTGTTTTTTGAGACGGAGTTTCGCTTTTGTTACCCAGGCTGGAGTGCAATGGCACAATCTCCAATCACTACAACCTCCACCTCCTGGGTTCAGGTGATTCTCCTGCCTCAGCCTCCCAAATAGCTGGGATTACAGGTGCCCACCACCAAGCCTGGCTAATTTTTTTGTGTATTTTTAATAGAGATGGGGTTTTTCCATGTTGGCCAGGATGGTCTTGAACTCCTGATCTCAGGTGATCCACCTGCCTCGGCCTCCCAAAGTGCTGGGAATACAAGCATGAGCCACTGCGTCCGGCCTTGGGGCTAGGTTTTTAAGGATTATGGAGTGGGCCAAAGTGTGGAGATCACTGAGGGGTCAAAGAGTGCAGAGGAAGTCATGGGACAGGGAGATGATGATTCTCATGCTGATTGTATTCCTCTGTGGGGTTCTTCAAACTGGTTGGCATTAGCCGTTTCCTTAGAATCTGGGATCTGAAAAACGTCTGAAGCAGTTCTTAAACAAAAGACTTAAAATTTTAATGTCAAAAATCCCATCTGTAGGAACAATGGGGATACAAATGGTCCCCATTTGTAGTGACTTTGTGTTACAAGGAAGTAGGTCAAAGTATAGCCTGATTAGTGCTTATTTATAACTATAGTTCTGTCTAGAATTCTTGTTAACCCTGTGAGGACAGCTTCACTGCTTCTCATCTGTTCCTTCAGACCTGTTCTAATCCTGAGGCAATCTGAATAAGGCAAAGCCTCCACAAATAGGCTCAGAAATATTACCCCATTTCCTGGATTCTAGTAGCCTAGTCCCAGTCGTTGGGACTCCCTCGTTGTCTCTCAGGGATCTTTGTTGCATTCAGTTGAAGAATCTGCTCTTATCAGGAATGACTCCTGGGCCCAAAGTCACAGCTCTCTGGTCTCCGTCCCCATCCCCTCCCTGTCTCCGATGAAAGGCTCAGTCCTTAGTATTAGGCTGTAGTCTTAACCATATATAGTACCCAAGTCCTTACCCAAGACTATTTATTTATTTATTTATTTATTTAATGGAGACGGGGTCTCACCATTTTGCCCAGGCTGGTCTCGAACTCTTGGACTCAAGTGATCCTCCTGTCAGCCTCGCAAAGTGCTGGGATTACAGGCGTGAGCCACTGCACCCAGCCTTTCCCCAAGACTGAAACCCTGCTTTGAACTGTAGCCCCATGATAAGGGTCCCTGCTGCTTCATCTTTTCCTCGCCAGCCTTTCCTCTGGGATCTGGACCTTGTTTTCTGTCCCAGCTGGGGTCCTGCTATCCACCTTATTTTTCTTTTTTTGAGACAGAGTCTCGCTCCAGGCTGGAGTGCAGTGGTGCAATCTCGACTCACTGCAACCTCCGCCTCCTGAGTTTTAGGATTCTGCTGCCTCAGCCTCCCGAGTATCTGGGACTACAGGCATGCACCACTACGCCAGGCTAATTTTTGTATTTTTAGTGCAGATGGGTTTTCACCATGTTAGCCAGGCTGGTCTCGAACTCCTTACCTTGTGATCTGCCCACCTTGGCCTCCCAAAGTGCTGGGGTTACAGGTGTGAGAAACCATGCCTGGCCCATCCACCCTATTTTTCATTCCTATTCTGGGAAGATGATTTCCAGATTGGCCACCCATCTACCTAGGCCTGCTTATATTCTCCACAGCTGGGTTTCCCACTTAACTGGAAAACCTAGCCCCAACTATACCTGGATTGTGCCTAACTTGTGACAAAGACTCTCTCTTTGGCCAAACTTTGGTCAGGCTCCTCTGAGCCCTCTTCTCAACTAGGCCTCGACCTTGGCCTCATCCCGTCTTTGACCTGCCCAACCCAATTTTGGCAAGAATCCTGCTGGATAAGTTTACGGAGAGTACCCGCATCCTTAATAACTGATAAATTCTTCATTCTCCACTTTTTTTTTTTTTTTAAAGACTGAGTCTCACTTTATCGCCCAGACTGGAGTGCGATGGCACAATTTCGGCTCACGGCAACTTCCACCTCCTGGGTTCAAGTTTTTCTTTGTGCCTCAGCCTCCTGAGGAGTTGGGACTCCAGGCATGTGCCACCAAATCCGGCTAATTTTTGTATCTTTAGTAGAGGCAGGGTTTCACCACATTGGCCAGGCTGGTCTCGAACTCCTGATCTCAGGCGATCCGACTGCCCTGGCCTCCCAAAGTGCTAGGATTACAGGTGTGAGCCACCACATCCAGCCTCATTCCCCACTTTTGATGTGTAAATCCTTGGCCTGCCTTTAGCATGAATCCTGTTAGGTCACTTTAGCAAGAACTACCCTATGTTTGATGCCTCCCTTTAGTAATTCCCATCCTGTGACATCCTCCGACGGCTCCTTGGCTATAAATCCCCACTTGTCCTTGTTGTATTCAGAGTGGAGAATACTTTTTGCTTTAACATTTACCATGCACTTTGGATGACAACCGTGGGGAGGCCACCACCCAGCTGTCTTCTGGGTCATGCTGCCTCTCCTCCCTACTCTAGGAATCAAATCTTATTCCAGCCTCTTGAGCTCCTCTTCCTCACCAGCCCCTAGCTGACATGTATGGCAATACAGTTCTTATAGGGTCAAACCTAGAGAGGATGGGGCAATTCTTCTCCAGCCAACTTCACCTAGTTCATTCAGTCAGTCAGATAGGCAAAACATCTGAATACATTTAAGTAGTTTCTCAACATAGATATTTTCAAAGAGCTTTCTTATTTGTGTTACATATATAAAATATATACACTCAAGGCATAAAATATCTGTCTTGTGCTGTTTCAAATGAAAAAAATCGTAGTGGATACAGATCTTTGGTGTTCCAATGGTGCCATAAACACATCTGATGGGTTTTTTTGGAACAAAGAATTGTGCAAGATTTTACCTCTTGGGTTCCAAGTATGTTTTTGTTTGTTAGAGAGACTTTGTTGTAAAAGTCTCCTCACCTAGAGCTCTGGTGATTTTTCACATTTTATTCATCTCTTTCATTTGGCTTCAAGTAAGGGAAGAATGTAATCAAATTCAAATTTTACTGAATTTTATGAATGTCAGGTGTGGAACTTTCCTCTTGACTGTCTTCTTTCATTGAGGGTGCTATTGAAGCCTTTTGCAGGAAATGGTGCACCAACCATTCATTGGTTCTCATGGCTTTGCAATGGAGGCAGGGCCTTTCTCTCATTTGGTAACTTCGCAGATTCTTTTGCCTCTGAGCCATTTTTCTCCTCTTAATACTGTCTGGTGATGGGTGGTGTTCACTTTCACTCTCCTTCCACGAGGAGGCTTCTGAGTTAGATTCTTCACTGCCACACTCCGTAGTATCACTGTTGTGTTGGTCCTGGTTCACCTCATTGAACTGAGACAGGCACCTGGCTCGTCTTTGTTCAAGATAGGCATTGCCCAAAGCCACTTCTGAGTTGGTTACAGGAGTAAGTTGGTTCTGCTTTGGTTTCTTCATTGTTTGTGAGGAATCCCAGGCACCATCTTTGCTTTCCCACTGATAGGAAGTCTCTTTGCCTGCTAACAGCCAATGAAACAAATCAAGTTAGTCACATTGTTGGTGACTATAAATTCATATTACTTAAGAAGTCTGTGCATGTGTGAGCTCACTCTTAGTGGCCAGTTGTCAAGTCGCTGCTTTTCTCCAGTTGCCTGCAAGTGTTGGCAGCTGATTGCATTTTCCAGTACCATACCCCAACTCCTGCAGGCAAGAAAGCTTAGCTAGATGCTTGACATACCACTTTTGAAGTTTTGTGGATCCTAGACATAAGATCAAAGGAAAAGATCTCTAAACTTTTCCAGGAAAGAACCTTTTTTTTCCTTTGAAAATTGAAGTCTTAAAGATTTAAGCACGTACTTAGGAATGTGATTTGCGGAGCAGGAGCTAAGAAGGATCTTTCCTTTATGTAGTGGTGTGCTGAAGTTGGCTCGTACCCACTCGGAAGAGCTGATAAACTTTCAGGAATTTTGTGAGATGGTTAAACATAGCCATTATTAAAAATTAAATTATACCAACTTACAATAAATTCAGTTGCTAAAAATGATGGTGATAAGTACTCAAAACCCATCACTTCCTAATTATCTTACTACATTTGATTATGCTGTGTGCTCTTCTGGTTTTTTATGTCTTGTATTTGGATGTTGGAAATACTGTGTTAAGGGTGCCCTACTGCACATCTCCTCCCAACTTCATGTTGAGTGACATGATGTGGGTGGCTTAAAACCAGCTTTGATGAAAGTATTTATACCCTGAAAACCAGCAAATACTAAACATCAGGGCTTGATGTATGGCTTTGTTGATCGTCTAGGCTTAAGAAAATGATGGAGAACATGTTACTAATGCAGATTACATTTCAGTGTCATCCCTATAGCCACTACATTGTGACTAACACTCCAAAATGAAGAAATATTCTTCCAGTATTTTACAACTATTATCCATTCCAGTAAAGAAGTCACTTACATCACTGACAACCAAGTTAAATTCCAACATACATCTTCTGCTTCACTTTCATCTCACTCCTTAACTTCATGAGGGAACTATACTTGATAATCAATTGCAGCCAGGGGTTGGCTAAGCATTCAAGGGTCTCTCAAAAATCAAGGAGAGTGTTTTGAGAGAATTGGTTTTCTATATGAAATTGACCATAAGGAGTCTTGTGTATTTTATTATTTATAAATAGTGCAATATATATCTTTTATTTATATATTTAATTTTTTTAGTCAGAGACTCACTCTGTTGCCCAGGCTGGAGTGCAGTGGCACGATCATGCTCACTGGCAGCCTCAAACTCCTAGGCTGAAGCGAGTCTGTTGCCTCAGCCTCCTGAGTAGCTGAGACGGCAGGTGCAAACAACCATGCCAGCTAATTTTCTTTTTTCAAGAGATAGGGTTTTGCTCTGTTCTCCAGGCTGTTCTTGAACTCCTGGCCTCAAGCAGTTCTCCTGCTTCAGCCTCCAGAGGTACTGAGATGATATGCAACCTTTATATCAGTACAAAAAAATGTTTTTAATATAGAGGCAGGGTTTCACCATGTTGGCCAGGCTGGTCTCGAACTCCTGACCTCAGGTGATCCACCTGCCTCAGCCTTCCAAAGTGCTGGGATTATAGGCATGAGCCACCATGCCTGGTCAAAATTTTTAATAAACATATGTACACACATGAGTTTGGCACAGCCAGTTATTTAACATTTACCGGCGCACAATAACTTATAGATTGTTGAAAAGATGTCATAGACAGCTCATAATCCTGTAATAACGGGGCAAGTGGGAAGGGCAAGTAATGTGAAAGGAGAGTGCTAAGGAGTGAAAAGAGAACTTGAGCTCCCACCTCCCAGTAATTCATAGCTTCTAGCCAAGCAGCTAAGCTGTCCCTCTGCACTAAGGTGTCCAAAAGCAAGGACTTGCTTAATCCTAATGGGCCTTCTCTAGTGTGCAAAGTCTTACAGTGCTCTTGGCTGTCCGTCTCTGCGGTTTGCTCTTCACACTCAGCACAGATTTCTTTCTTTCTTCTTTCTTTTTTATTTTTAGATACTAGGACTCACTATGTTGCTCAGGCTAGGGTCCTGAACTGCTTAGCTCAAGCAATCCTCCTGCCTCAGCCTCCTGAGTAGCTAGGGCCTACAGGTGTACAACACCACACATACTTTTCCCCTCACAGTCCAATACCAAATATGCACTGGTTCTCACCTTTCCTTATGGAAGCACTCGTCCCACTGTCTTCATCCTTTTTATCCTTAGACATCTGTTTCAGAAATATAGGTTAGTAAGAGTGATCTCAGTTGTTTTTCGCTAATATCTATTTGTTAAAAATACACTATTGCCAAGGCCTATTGACAATGTCTAATTTCATTTTATTATTATTATTATCTTTTTTTGAGAGTCTCTGTTGCCCAGGCTGGAGTGCAGTGGCACTATCTCAGCTCACTGTAACCTCCATCTCCCGGGTTCAAGTGATTCTCCTGCCTCAGCCTCCCAGGTAGCTGGGATTACAGGCATGCCACCACCACGCCCAGCTAATTTTTGTATTTTTAATAGAGATGGGGTTTCACCATGTTGGCCAGGCTGGTCTCAAACTCCTGACCTCAAGTGATCCACCGACCTCAGCCTCCCAAAGTGCTGGGATTACAGGCATGAGCCACCGTGCCTGGACTGACAATGTCTAATTTTAAACATTCAGTTTACACAAGTACTTACTGAGTTAAATAATAAGCTCATGAAGTATGTATTGAGTTCCTGTTACAGTGATCTTACTTCCACTTCCCTTTAAGACTATGCTTTGATAGCAGAATCTACCAAATATTTTGAACCAAGCAAAATGGAACAGACTTGAGAGAGAATAAACTGATAAGGAGTTATAGCTTATAAAGTTTTCCTGTACCCATTTACATTACAGAGAAATACTGTTTAAAAAATTTTTGATAGTACTCAGGTTAGTTTTTAAAGGACATTTGATCAGGGTACATCATTGATAGTTATTTAAGATAGAAGACATCTACATACACGAAGATCTTTACCTGAATTCATGAACTTCATATCTCCTTAATCCCTCTGAAACTTTCCTCCAAAATGCAACCATAATATATTATTTGTGAATATGGAAACTAGAAGAAATGGATTTCTTTGAATAGTTCTAATTTCAAATATTCTGCCTCAATACTCCATAAATATATTTGTCCCGCTTTTCAGATTAGCGTCCCACTTTCTGATGCTGAAAGTACTTTTGCCAAAAGACAGAGATATAAACCAACTCTTTCAGAAAAATAACAAAAACTAGCAATTTTCATTAACACCTCTGACATATAATTCTCTCTCTGGGAATCTATCAGCAAGAAATAACCTTCAAAAGAAAGAAAGCTCTGTGCGCAGAAACGTTCATCACAGCATAATTAGGATAATATAACATTCAAAAGTAGACAATGGTTTAACTAAATTATGGTCCAATTATATAATAAATAGTTATAAAATCATTATAACAAAAGTATGTCATAACATGCGGAAATAAGTGTGCTACCATACTGGGTTAAACATCCAGATGCAAATTTGTAGATACAGTATGAGCACAAGTTAGCTAAAAATATGGGAAAAAAAGATTTTAAGAAGCATATAAAAGTGATAGCAATGGTTGGCTTTAAGTGGTGAAATGGACTTTTTCTCTTCTAATTTTTTCGAACTGTCTACAATTAGGAACAAAATGAGGCCGGGAGCAGTGGCTCAGGCCTGTAATCCCAGCACTCTGGGAGGCCAAGGCGGGTGGATCACCTGAAGTTGGGAGTTCGAGACCAGCCTAACTAACATGGAGAAACCCCGTCTCTATTAAGAAAAAAAAAAAAGAAAGAAAGTAAAAGGAACAAAACGAATTTATATGGAAGTCAAATTTCTTCGGGTTGAAAAGTGCCATACTTGGGTATTTGTAACTGCAATCTAAGATCCTCAGCGCAGTTGTTTCTTAATATCTGATCTCTGCAATGGTAGGCAAGCATCTTTAATGAGGCACCTTTTTGCTTTCTGGGTTACAGCAATCATTCCGAAAATCTTGAAAGTGGAGTTCTCTTTTAAGATACCGCTTTCTAAAAAATACTTTTGGAGGGGGCTAAATATTTTAAATTTAATATGTATCATTTAGATTAGGTTATACAAAAGAAAAAAGATTAATTTAATATGTATAAAGAAAACCAAAAGATTGGAAGTTTATAAACCTAAAAGTTAACAGTAGTTGGTTATTTCTGCATAATCTAGAGTGATTTTTACTTTGTTTTGTCTCTGTCCTGTCATTTACACATTTTCTATATAATGTGTAATTTTGTAACAGACGAGAGAAGGTGCTTAAAACGCTTATTAGGCTTATGTCATTTCCACAGAAAGCTCTCACATTTGATGTCAAATCAAAATAACCACAAAATCAAAAGAAAGATTTTGCATTAAGCTAAGTGGAATCATATGAACTGTGGTTCCGAAAAGCATTTTATTAACTGTCTTTGTGTGTGACTCAGTGAGTGAAAACAGCAGAACTGCCTGCCCTAAGGGGCAGAGTAGAAAATTTGGGCCCTGGCTCTCTTTGTGCCACTAAGCGACTCTGATTTTTCCAAGCCACTTAACACCTCTTAAGCTCAGTTTCCATATAAGTGAAATAAGGATTTTGGACTACTATTGTCCAGAAAAATACCTTTACTAGCAATCTGAATAAACACAAAATAAACATATAAACTAAATATAGTATTTATAGTCTGAAAGCAAAAGGGTAAATGCCGCTTTAAAAAGTGGCTAATTCAGAGGAAATCAGCGTGCTGCATGTTGGAGGTAATTACCACCACATTTCCATCACGCTTTTACCATTACTTCAAGGTTTGTAAATCAAGCCTCAGAGTTTAGCAGAGAAAATGAAGAAGTTCAAAGTGAAGGAAAAATTCCATCCTCCTTTACTAGCTCTCATATGGTTCTCAGATTTCAAATCTGGGGCCCTGCAGAAGAAGCAGTCCAGCCGATTGTAGCTGCCACACGGGCATAAAGTGAAAGACGAAACCTCTAAAATCATTAAGGTTTTTCATCAGGAGTGAGTAGATTTAACTGGACATTTCAAACTATGCTTTGAAGCAAACAAATAATATGACAGGAAATCTGGGTTTATTCTACTTCTGTCACTACCGCTTTTGTGACATTGGACAAGTCACTCAATTTCCTTGGGCCTTATCAGTAAAAAATGAGTAGGGGAAGGATAATGATAACTCACTTGCCTACAAACAGGAGGCTGGACCACATGCTCTCTTGAGGTCCTGGAAGCTCAAGGCTCTATGACTCCAAAGAGCTGATGCAAGCACAGAAGCAGAAAAATAGCTTAGGCCTCTTAATTCATGATGAAATTGCTACTGATCAATTTCAATTTTTTTGTTAATTTTTTAAAGTAGCTTTTCTTGCCAGGCCAGACAAATTCAATATACTTAGCTAGGGAGTCTAAGACACATACAAGCTATCACTATTCTAAATCTCCTTTTGGCAAAGTATTTACCTTAAGAAGCATTTAGACTTTAGATGAAACCTCTTCTGCACCAGGAGGTGGTGGTTACCAAAGAGACTTTGATTATTAGAATGGAATCCAGCTGGCATGGATATAACAAACCTTCCCCTCCCCATCCAGAGCTCATAGAGCACTAAGCCTTACTGACCACTGCCAGCCCAGGGCTCTGGCTATAATGCTAAATGATGGAGGTTTTCTTAATCATCAGCCTGGTATTAATAGTCAGCAAGGATATCATGTCAGCGAATTATAAGAGCTTGGTTACAGATGAGTGTGTAACCCACCGTAATCCCAGCTCATGCCTATAATCCCAGCACTTTGGGAGGCCAAGGCAGGTGGATTACTTGAGGTCAGGAGTTCCAGACCAGCCTGGCCAACATGGTGAAACCCTATCTGTACTAAAAATACAAAAATTAGCAGAGTGTGATGACTTGCACCTGTGATCCCAGCTACTTGGGAGGCTGAGGCAGGAGACTCGCTTGAATCCAGGAGGTGGAGGTTGTAGTGAGCTAAGACTGCACCACTGCACTCCAGCCTGGGTGATACAGCAAGACTCCGTCTCAAGAAAAAAAAAAAAGAGCTTGGTTACTCATAATATGTTGGAGGCATCACAGTCCTGATGAAGTGGGATAGCTCATTCTTAAGACAATGGCATTTTAGTAGTGACTTTAGTTCTGTTTATTACTTCTGCATCTTATTCTATGCAGAAAGTGTATTGCTTCATTCTAAAAATCCCCAAATCCTACAGCATGTATCCTATCAATATGACAACTTTTGTGTCTTTGATTAGAATCATATGGCTAGAAAAGGGATTTGGAAGTCATTAACCAGCAGGGAGGTTTATGCCAGCATTACATAGCATATGGACAAACTGTAAACAATCTGAATGTTTCAAACTTGTAGAATTTTTTGGTACAATCAAAAGACAGAAAATTATACAGTCATAAAAAGTGCTGCTGAGTGAATATAGAGAAGCATTTCCGCTATTTTATTAAGCTTAAAAAGCTGAGTGAATATAGAGAAGCATTTCCACTATTTTATTAAGCTTAAAAAGCAGGATATGAAAATATATACAATATAATGCCAACGATGTAAGATCAAAGAGAAATGGAGAGAGATATGTTGGGATAGAGAGAGAGAAAAAAACAAACAAACTGGGAGAACATACTCCAAAATGTTAACAGTGTTTATCTCTGGGAAAGAAGATAACTGTAGTTTTATGTTTTCCTCTTCATCCTTTTCTATATTCCTGGATTCTCTAGAATAAGATTGTATCGTTTTTTAAAACTAAACAACTCTTAAAAAGTAGTTTCATCGAAGTACAGTAAATGTATTTTATGGAACATTTCCTAGTGTACAGTAAACATATTATTTAAAATGCAAAAAGATATCCTACCCAGACAGAAGCCCTAGAGAAGAACATCAGGACAAATATGATGACAAAATACCAAAGCAGGAAGCTCCCTACGGTCCCACAAGAGTCATCCTTCTGGCATTCATTGTCCTGACTTGGAATGGCAAAACTTAAAGGTATAGGGGGAGGATCTACCTCCCAAAATAAGGAAAAAAGGTCTCCCATGATGGCTTCTTGCTCAAAAAATAAACCATGCTCAGTGGGATGAAGATGACTGGGAACTACTTTACTCCCTCTATGATGGATGATAATTTCCTTGGCAACCTATTATGACATACTTGAGCAACTGTTCTAGGAACTGACAAATGCTTCTTGGATTTCTAAGTTGTGGAAGGCTTACCCCATACCTCGACATGGTGCATTCTACCTTAATTTTTTTTCCCTAAAACTTGTACATATTTTCCTATCTTTACATCTAAGTGCTTAAGGTATCCACTCATTTTAATTCAGTCTCTTTTATATGTAGCATACCATTGCAAATTATTATAGACAGTCTAATGTGTTACTGATTGAACTGTGTTCCCTAAAATTCATATGTTGAAGCCCTAACCTCCAGTGTGACTGTATTTGGAGACAGGACCCTTAAGGAGGTAATAAGTTAAATGAGATCATATGGATAGGGCCCTAATCCAATACAACAGGTATCCTTATAAGACAGCAAGGATTCATGAGCACAGAAATCAAGGCCACAATACAAGGTGGTCATTTGCAAGGAGATCCGCCTCAGGAGAAACCAAACATGCTGAAAATCTGATATTAGACTTCCAGCCTCCAAAATTATGAAAAAAATTAATTTCTGTTAAGCCACCCTGTCTGTGATATTTCATTATGGCAGCCCTGATACATAACACCCACTGTCATTTGGTCAGTAGTATTCTTTTTTAAGCCTTGAATAAATGCACAATAGCTTATGGATTACATTAAGAGGGAAAAACACAGATGTGCCTTATGAACTACATCAAATGCATACAATTTCTTCTTAGGAAAGAGTCACATATAAAGGAGGTGGGGGGCCGGGCGTGGTGGCTCAAGCCTATAATCCCAGCACTTTGGGAGGCTGAGGCGGGTGGATCATGAGGTCAAGAGATTGAGCCCATCTGGTCAACATGGTGAAACCCTGTCTCTACTAAAAATACAAAACATTCACTGGGCATGGTGGCGCGTGCCTGTAATCCCAGCTACTCAGGAGGCTGAGGCAGGAGAATTGCCTGAACCCAGGAGGCGGAGGTTGCGGTGAGCCGAGATCATGCCATTGCACTCCAGCCTGGGTAACAAGAGCGAAACTCCGTCTCAAAATAAATAAATAAATAAATAAATAAAGGAGGTGGGAACCTGGTATTCTTTTTTTTTTTTTTTTTTGACAGGGTTTCACTCTATCTCCCAGACTGGAATGCAGTGGCCCCATCTTGGCTCACCAGAACCCCCGCCTCCTAGGCTCAAGCAATTCTGCCTCAGTCTCCCGAGTAGCTGGGATTACAGGCATACACCACAACCGCGGGCTTTTTTATTTTTAGAAAAGAGATGGGGTTTCACCATCTCGCCAGGCTGGTCTTGAACTCCTGACCTCAAATAATCCACCCGCCTCGGCCTCCCAACCGGTACTCTAATTTTGACTGCACCTTGAACCCTTTCACTTTCAACAATTTTCAAGTTCGTTCTTCTCTAAATCTAAAACTAGAGCAAAACAACATTGCTGCTAACTCAATCCAAAAATGATGAAACTTACTTAAAAAAAGTTAGCTCTTTAAGCGCATAGCATACCTGCCGATTTTCATTACTATACAATACCACGTGGTATTAACCTTAGGATCATTTTAGGAAACCACTTCGGCCATTGGACATACATGATGTAATAATCCACTAGCTTATTGTGACATGGCTTAATGTTTTTATTAGGAGGCACACTTCGGAACAATCCTCAGGCTCTGGGCTTCTGGCTATTGACTCAATAACGTGTCATGTCGTCCAGGAAGTTCGTGGGAGCTGGGGCTGGGCTGGACGTGCCTCCTTGGGGCGCAGCGCACCCACCTCACCTGCCTTCGAAGTGCACTTGTGGGCCTCCGCCAGAGTTGAGCTCCTGTGGGCAGTAACCAGGAAGCTCTTATTTTCTATATCTCAGAGGCACATTTCTAAGTATTTGTGCTAAATAAAACCAAGCTCAACCTTTTCCTCAGGATGAGAAGTTCTTCCAAAAAATACACAGGAAAATGTTTTTTTTTTTTTAACCTCAAAACCACTAGCAACTTCAATAAAACAAATTTTGGGTGTGCTTGTTACCACTGCACCCTATTACAGTTATTAAGAATTTAGGCCATGCACAGTGGCTCACGCTTGTAATCCCAGCACTTTGGGAGGCAGAGGCGGGCAGATCCCCTGAGATCAGACGAGACCAGCGTGGTCAACGTGGCAAAACCCCGTCTCTACTAAAAAAAGAAAAAAGAATTTACATGGGGTCAGAACTCTTAATACAGACATTTTAACACAGGAATGCTTTATCACTGCTTTGTCATTGATGGTGTCTGGCCACCCTATCACGCACTCTGGCCTACGTTGAGCCACCCTACCTAATCAGTTTACACATGTCAGTCCATAAATGGGCTAGGGAAGCTAAAATTATATTAATACATACAAAATTCAGTTTGTTGTAATTATTACTTTTTACTGCAGGTTCAGAACCTGGTCTGAATTTTGCTGCTTAGCTCTCTCCGCAGTTCAGCTGGAGCCACGAAACCCAGACCTGTTTCCCTGGTAACGTTCGAACGGCCCGGCCTGCGAACCCCGCCCCCCTTTCTCGCGAGAAGAGACTACCCAGTTCTTCCGGTAACTTTAGAGCCGCCAGCCAGTCGCCTCCGTCTTGCGCTTGGCCTAGCGCATGCGCAGTGGAGAGTGGCGCGAGCCAGCGTTTTCCGGCCAGAGGACATGGTGCGTTTTCGGGGTCATGTTTGTGCTTCCTGTCTTCGAGTCCTTGCGGGGTGTGGGAGTTCCGCGCCTGATGATCTGTCCGGGGTTCAGCCAAGGAAGGATGTAGTTAGGCGTCCCGCCACTCTAGGGGAAGGGAAGAAAGAAGTAATAGGGTTGCTGAAGTTCGTGCGTAGGGAGCCGGGGAGGGAAGCTCTGGAATGGGGAGTTGGGACGCGGAGGCTGAGTGGCGCGAAGGCCATTGCTCTGTGGGATACGACTCGTCGCTGGAACAAGTTTTGCACTGTCTGTAAGAGTTGAGCCTAGCTGAACAAAGGAATTATAAATTCCAACATGGACCAAAACTGAATGCACGTTCTCCCCTCACCACCGCATCACTAAAATTTAAATCCTTTTCCTTTATCCACACACGCAAGGGAGATCCCTGGAGTACAGCTGTCCACGTGCAAAGTTGTTTAGACGGTAATGGCATCTGCATGAGGATGTAGGAGAGTCTTTATGACCAACAGATAGGGAATATATTCTCCCAAAACTTGATTTTGAATTTCTGAAATTAGACTTCTCTACTCCTTGTAACATTCTCCAAAGACAAAATACAAAGTATATGCAGACATAATCACCAACCCTTAAATTACAAAACAAGACATTTTTTACGTATTGGAAATATTAATTTTTTTTTTTTTTGAGACGAGTCTCACTCTGTCGCCCAGTCTGGAGTGCAGTGTCACTGCAACCTCCGCCTCAAGGGTTCAGGCGATTCTCTTGCCTCAGCCTCCCTTGTAGTCGGGTCTACAGGCAAGTGCCACCACGCCCAGCTAACTTTTTAAAAATATTTTTTTAGTAGAGATGGGGTTTCACCATGGTAGCCAGGATGGTCTTGATCTGACCTCGTAATCTATCCACCTCGGCCTCCCAAAGTGCCGGGATTACAGACGTGAGCCACCCTGCCCGGCCTGAAATTGTTCTTAAATAACCAGCCACTTCTCTGTTGATTACACTGTAATGCCAGTGAAGGTATGATTTCTGGTTCCCTTTCCATATACTGATACTAAAATGGAAAAAGTTTTGGTAAAACATTTTAAAGATGAGAGAAAGTATATGCAATTTCATTTACCTTTATACGAGATGCAAAATTTGGTTTTAAATTTTGGTTAATTCCTGTGCTTTTTGTTTTTTCACAGATGCAGGGGGAGACACACCCTAGTGCTTCCCTTATTGACAGAACCATCAAGATGAGGAAAGAAACAGAGGCTAGGAAAGTGGTTTTGGCCTGGGGACTCCTAAATGTATCTATGGCTGGTATGATATATACTGAAATGTAAGTGAATCAGCTCAAAATGAAAATGTCAGAAACCAGTGCTGGTTCCACAGGTTTCCGTGTTTGTTTCCATTTTTGCTGTCTTTAAGTTCACTGGAAACCCTTTCTAATTTTTTTTAGGACTGGAAAATTGATTAGTTCATATTACAGTGTGACATACTGGCCCCTCTGGTATATTGGTAAGTAATTAATTTTCACTGTAACGTAAATTTACTACCAGTGAAAAAGTGCTTTCAGGTTTCATTCAGCTTAGTATGTATTTCCTTATTCAATAAGTATGTGACTGCCTGCTGGGTTGTAAAAACTGGGAATCCAGCAGAAAGGGAGCAAAGTAAAACCCTGTTACTATGAAAGGAACAATTTATTAGAGAGGCAATCAGTAAACAACACGTTATCAGGTAATTGTGAGTTATGTGAGGAAAAATAAGTTTAGAGGTCAGTGAGATTTGGTTTTGTTACTCTCCTGAAATGCCCTCTCTACATCTGTACCTTTTTTTTTTTTTTTTTTTTTTTAATACAGAGTCTTGCTCTGTCACCCAGGCTGGAGTGCAGTGGCACCATCTCTCTGCCTCCCGGGTTCAATCATTCTCCTGCCTCAGCCTCCCAAGTAGCTGGGACTATGGGTGCACACCGCCACGCCCAGCTAATTTTCGTGTTCTTAGTAGAGACAGGGTTTCACTGTGTTGGCCAGGCTGGTCTCCAACTCCTGACCTCAGGTGACCCACTGCCTTGGCCTCCCAAAGTGCTGGGATTACAGGCGTGAGCCACTGGGCCCAACCACCCCACACATAGTAGACATTGATTAAATTATAGCTTTTATGAGCAATGATGTAAAGATAAGAAGGTAATTTTAGTTTGCTAAGTATAGCAGGTTTTTGTGTTCTCCAATAGATGCCCTCCTCACCCCCCTTTTATAAAAAAATAAATTGTTCTCTTCCAGAGCTTGCCCTTGCATCTCTCTTCAGCCTTAATGCCTTATTTGATTTTTGGAGATATTTTAAATATACTGTGGCACCAACAAGTCTGGTTGTTAGTCCTGGACAGCAAACACTTTTAGGGTTGAAAACAGCTGGTGAGTGTTTTATATCTCTTGCAAAGGTCGGGGAAAGGTTGCCAATAAATCTTTCTCAATTTAATTTTCCCCGTTTCATAGACTCAGAGCTGGAAGGGACATTAGTTATCCTAAATGATACAATAAATAGTCTTATGTCCAATGACTATCATTTTCTACTTGTATACATTCAATTGTTTCATGGATGTTTGTTCCATTGTTCGGGTACAGTTAAAGTTAAATGACTCTTGCTGAGTTGAAACTAGTTTCTAATTTTGAACTCTGGAAATAGTAAACACCTAATTTGTGTCCTTTGGTCCTTTGATAATAATACTTTCTGTGATTTAACAGCCAAGTCACTCGGTTAACTTTTTTCCCTGAAAAAAGAATGACTTAGTTGTTTAAATGTATTTTCATAGAAATTTTATTTGTGCATACATACACATATGTTGTTTTTTTTTTTTCCTTCTAGTTGTACAGACTACTCCTCCACATGATCTGGCAGCAACCCAGATCCCTCCCTCTCCACCTTCCCCTTCAATTCAGGGTCAGAGTGTGTTGAGTTATAGCCCATCTCGTTCGCCCAGTACCAGTCCCAAGTTCACCACCAGCTGTATGACTGGTTACAGCCCTCAGCTGCAAAGTCTGTCCTCAGGTGGCAGTGGTTCTTATAGCCCTGGAGTGACCTACTCGCCCATCAGTGGTTACAATAAGGTAATGACTCTCTTGTCTTGTCCAGTCACATTATTTTAAAATTGGGAGGTACACTAAAATTCATCTAATGAGCCAAACTTATTTTATCTGAGCAAACTGAGACTTGACTTGCCCCGATTACCCATTTAAGAACCAAGAACAGAACACAACATCTTAAAATGAAAGAGGAAAAATTAGTGTTTGCAGAGATAATGAACTTAGCTTCACCATCTAGGATCTTTCATCAGTCTTTAAAACAAGTTGAAACTGATGATGTTTTACTTTAGTTACTTTTACTCCTGTTTTCCCTTTGTTATGTGAAGGCTTTGTATACCCTTAGAGTTTTTTTAATGTGTTTTATCATGTTGGAGTATCTTCTAAGCTATAAATTGGGATTGTCACATAGTTTCTTCCACCCACCTCTGCCCTGCAATGAGCACACATGATTCTTGAGTATGGACACTTCCCATGGTATACTAGGAACCTTCATTCCCACTCCCACATAATGTGAAACTTTGTTCTAATTTGTAGGATTAATAGAAACAGGATTGACAAATTGAAATTTTGACTCCTTCCAGAAGCATAAAACTATTAATATAAGAGGGGCATAACAGGAGAGTGATCATTTCAGATGCTGTCACTATTGTGTTGGGCTAATATCTCTATAGCTGCTAGTTAAAACAAGAGACTCTGGAGGTGAAACCAACACACTGTCTGCCCTCATCCATTTACATGTTTCTTTTGTAATGAAATTCCATACTACTGGTTATCCAATATTAAAATTAATTTTGGCAGGTAATAGAATTTTGAAAATTTTGTACAAGTTAGATTTTTGTGAGAAAGTATGTAGTAAAAATTCACAACTCATAGGTAAATGCAACTTTTAAAAATAATTTTTTTGCCAAGCGCAGTGGCTCATGCTTATAATTCCAGCACTCTGGGAGGCTGAGATGGGTGGATCACGAGGTTGAGAGATCGAGACCATCCTGGTCAACAAGGTGAAACCCCATCTCTACTAAAAATACAAAAATTAGCTGGGCATGGTGATGCGTGCCTGTAGTCCCAGCTACTCAGGAGGCTGAGGCAGGAGAATTGCTTGAACCCAGGAGGCAGAGGTTGCGGTGAGCCGAGATCACACCATTGCACTCCAGTCTTGGTAACAACAGCGAGACTCTGTCTCAAAAGAATAAAAAAATAATAATTTTTCACAGGTTGATGCTATCTGATCCTTATAGAAAATTGGAAAAGTAAAATAGAAGGAAAATTACTTACAGTCCTGCCACACAAAAGTAATCTGTGTAATGACTCTTTAATACTCAGCTAATGGATATACCATAATTTACTCTTGAATATTTAAGTCATTTTCATTTTTTATAAACTTTTTTATAAACTTTTTAATGTGTACTAAATAGCTCTGACATAAAATTCTTGATAAATTTGGGATGGGACTGTCTATCCAAATGTATAAGAGTGTTTGTTTTACCACACTCTTGACCATCAAGTTAATTTCTTTTAAAAATAAATCTCTGCTAATAAGAAACATGAGTATAGTCTGTTGTAACTTTTAACATACATTTCTTTCAAAACCACATAGCTAAATCAAGAATTCTTCTTTACTTACTTGTCTTTTGGGTTTGTATCCTTGGAATTTTTTTCTTGGGTTGCTATTTAATTATAGGATTGAAAAAAAAAATATATATATATATATATACAGAAATTTTGAATTTTTTTAAAATTTTGAATGTTTAATAATCTTATCTGTTTATCTCCTTATGGTTTGCTCTATTTTTAAATTTAGAAATTTTTTCACTTTCAGAATTGATTCCCCCCAGCATAGTATAGATAATTTTCTCATTTTTGTGTTATGCTAAAATTGGTAACTGGTTGTCCCAATATCATAAATTATTTTTGCCTTGATTGACTTGGATCCTTCTTTGCATTACATGTGATTTTAGATATTAGAGTCTTTTTCTGGTCAATTCTGTTCTCTTGATATGTTTTTAGTGCTGTGTAGAGCAGTTTCATTGTAGACTGACAGTGTTAGAGTTGACAAAAACGGTCAAACACTATTGCATTTTTGCTTCAAAAAACAGAAATCATAGCTTATATTTTGTCTACAAAAGTGACACCACCAAAATATCAAGTATAATTTTTATTTTTAAAGAAATAATTTTTTTCCTACTTTAACTGTCCCTTTCTACCCGCTCTTTTTCAGTCATTTCTTCTGCCTCGTGCATCCTTCTGTTTACAAATTAGAGGGAAAAAAATAATGAATTAAGATTTTTTACCTTAATCTTTCTTTTTTTTAAAAAAATCCTAAAAGATGTGTCAAGAAAATATCAAAAGAAAGTAAAGGTACAGAGACACATCAGGAAAACACAAAAATAAGGTGGTAGTGTTATCAAAGTGTAACTTTAGAGGAGGAAGAATTACATGAGACAAAAGGTCATTTTAGGTTGATGGAAAAAATCATACGAAAAAATGATAGTTACAATCACAATCCCTGTATATTGAATAATACAGCATCATAAAATGTAAAGCAGAAACCTTTAGTAACATGAAATCAGTAAATACAACTGTACTGGAAGACTTTACTATTATCAATGTCTGATAAAGTAGGCAACAAATAAGGACACAAAATATTTGAGCAATAACATTTAATAAGATAGCCTCCATAAGAATACTATGGAATATTGTACCTTTCTATTTGAGATGTTCATGGAATTGTACACTTTGTATTTTCTGACCAAAACAAAAATAAAACTAGAAATTAAAAATAAGGGTTTGAAAGACACCATTAAAATTTAGAAATTAGGTTAAAATTAGAAATCAGGTCAAATTAAAAGTACTATTAGGAAAACAAGAATGCTTCAATATCAGAATTTATCAATATAGTAAAAGCTGTATGCAGTGGTTAATTCTTAACCTTAAATGTTTTTATTTTTGTTTTTGGGGGGTTATTTTGAGAGAGTCTCATTCTGTAGCCTAGGCTGGAAAGCAGTGGTGCGACCTCAGCTCACTGCAGGCTCTGCCTCCTATGTTCAAGCGATTCTGCTGCCTTAGCCTCCTGAGTAGCTAGGATTACACATACCTGCCAGCATGCCCAACTACTTTTTTAATTTTTGGTAGAGATGGGATTTTACCATGTTGCCCAGGCTGGTCTCCCAACTCCTGACCTCAAGTTATCCACCCACCTCAGCTTCCCAGAGTGCTGGGATAACAGGCATAAGTAAGCCACCTCACCCTGCCCATTTTTGTTTTAAAAAAAAATAGATGTACTAAGAATTCAGGTCAGAATTAGAAGAGTACAATAAGGATACAGAAAAAAATGATAGATACATGGTACAACATAGACGAGTCCTGAAAACACTATGCTAATCAAAGAAGCCAGTCACAAAGGACCACATATTATACAATTCTATTTATAATGTCCAGAATGGGCAAATTTATAAAGACAGGAAGATTAGTGGTTATCTAGAATAGGGGTGGGAAGGAAGGAGAAAAGGGGATTGATACCTAATCAGTTCTTTTTTAGTGGAAGGAAGGACAAGAACGTTCTGAAATTAGATTGTGATGGCTGTGTAACCCAGTGAACATACTAAAACATTTGAGTTGTGCACTTTAAATGAGTGAATTGTATGGTATGTGAATCATATCTCAAGCTATTTTTAAAATAATGATAAAAGCAAATGTTAGGAAACCGTTATCTAAGAGCTTTTCTCTGTGTGCATGGGAAATACCATAAAATAGACAAACCTCTCAAATCAACAGGGCAAATAAGATGTAGACTTCAGGAGAAGTTGAAATGGAGGATTTAGGAAAGGATAAAGAGAAGTTTAAACCATGATGGATATTTTTACGTTTTATGGTAAGAGCAGAGAATAGTTACTGCCATAAACGTTTCATGTCTCTGTGTCGTTACTCATCTTTAAATCTCTCTGCTGAAAATACTCTTAATATCATCCTTTTTTTGTTTTTTAATGGTAAAAAAAATATATAACATTAAATTTGCCATTTTAACCTTTTTAAAATGCACAGTTCAGTAGCATTAAATGTGTTCGAATTGTTCAGCTGTCACCATCTGTCTCTAAAACTTTTCATCTCCTCACTGAAACACTGTGCCAATTGAACAATTAACTCTATTTTTCTCCCCTCCCTGAGTCTCTGGCAACCACTATTCTGTCTCTGAATTTGATACTCTAGGTACATCATGTAAGTGGAATCATAAAGTATTTGTCCTTCACCTGGCTTATTTCACTAGCATAATGTCAGGGTTCATCCATATTGTAGCATGTGTTACAATTTCCTTCCTTTTTAAGGCTGAATAACATTCCATTGTATTCATACACCACATTTTGTTCATCCAGTCATATGTTGATGGGCACTCGGGTTGCTTCCACCTTTTGGCTTTTGTGAATAGTAAATGCTGCGGTGAAAACATGACTGTACAGATATCTGTTTGAGTCCCTGCTTTCAGTTCTTTTGGGTATATATCAAGAAGTAGAGTTTACGTGTCTATTTTTAACTTTTTGAGGAAACACTGTACGGTTTTTGTATATTTGTTTTGGTAAAGATGGGATCTTGCTATGTTGCCTGGGTTGGTCTCAAACTTCTAGACTCAAGCAGTCTTCCTGCCTCAGCCTCCCAAAGTGCTGGGGTTACAGGCATGAGCCACCACGCCTGACCCCATACCATGTTTCATAGTCACCATGCTGCCTTATATTCCCACCTTAAAATATATGCATAATGCTATATCAAATAAAGCATAATATTTTTAAATAATTGCTTGGGCTGCCATAAAAATGCCACAGGCTGTGTGATGAAACAGAAATTATTTTCTCATAGCTCTGAATGCTAGAAGTCTAAGATCAAGGTCCCTGCTGTTTGGTTTCTGATGAGTGCTCTTTCTGGTTTATAGCCGCTTTGCCCTCATGTGTCCTTTCTGGTATCTCTTCATAGAAGGACACTGAGCCTGTCAGAACAAGGCCCCACTCTAATGACCTCACTTAAGTTAATTACCCCCTTACTTCAGAAACAGCCACATTGGGGGTTGGGGGTTAGGGCTTCAACATGTGAATTTGGGGAATACACAAACATTCAGTCTATAATAACGTTCACTTTTTTTCCTTTAGACTGTAACCCTCTTGAGCACAGGATTATGTGTTTTTATTCATCTTTGTTTCCTTAGTACAGCATTTGGAATATAGATGCTACATCAGTGTCTATTGAACTGAACTGCTAATTTGGAAAAGCTAATGAAATACATTACTTTTCTTGGGCGGGAGGAAAAAAAGCCAAAATTGGCTAAGAATTAGAAAACCAAAATGAGAGAGAAAATTTAAAAACGATACATTGGTCAGGCGCAGTGACTCACTCCTGTAATCCCAACACTTTGGGAGGCTGAGATGGGCGGATCACCTGAGGCCAGGAATTCAAGACCAGCCTGACCAACATGGAGAAACCATCTCTACTAAAAATACAAAATTAGCTGGGCTTGGTGGTGCATGCCTGTAATTCCAGCTATTCAGGAGGCTAAGGCAGGAGAATTGCTTGAACCCAGGAGGCAGAGGTTGTGGTGAGCCAAGATCATGCCATTGCACTCCAAGCCTGGGCAACCAGAGCAAAATTCCATCTCAAAAAAAAATAAATAAAATACATCCCCAGAAGGCTGTATGGCCTTTAAGTTTTATTGTTAAGTTCTTTTAAACTTTGAACAGTTACTTTATAGACTTTTTATTATAGAAAATCTCAGACTAACAAAAGTGAAGAGACCAGTTTTAATATAGTGAATTCCTGTGTATCTTTTACCCATCTTCTAAAAGTTACTAATATTTTGCTGGGGTATGAACAGCTAATTCTGATCCAGTAAAACAACATGTTAACATAAACTCAAGTTAGAAAACAAGTTTGAAATCCCGGTATGATCTTTAGCAGGTTACCTAAACTCATAAGGTGTGAGTATAGTAATCATATTTGCCTGTTACTGAAAATATGAGGCCGGGCGCTGTGGCTCACGACTCTAATCCTAGCACTTTGGGAGGGTGAAGTGGGTGGATCACCTAAGGTCAGGAGTTCAAGACCAGGCTGGCCATCAGGGTGAAACCCCATCTTTATTTAAAAAAATTTTTAAATAATAAAAAAAAAGAAAATATGAGACCGTATATATATTAAGCATAATTAGCACATTGCCTGACACGTATAATAACTGCTTAAATACTTGGTATTCCAATATGAGTTATTACCAAATACAGAAAAAATGGGAACACCACTACCTAGCTCACTTTATAGAATGTAATAAAACTTAAAGCACAAAGTAGTTCTCCCTGGGAACTGTAAAAAACAACTTTGGTTAAGTGGCTAGATACAGGATAAACATCCAAAGTCAATAGCTTAAAAAGATAGTGTTATAAAGATTTTCTCCCTACATACTAATATATAAGGTATATGCAATTCTAATCAGTCCCAGTCTACCATTTTTAAAATGATTTATGCAAGTTACTCATTGATTTTTAAAGTTAATATAGAAAAATAAATGAGCCAAGAAAATTGAGTAAGAGTTAGGGTACTTCCCCATAGACATTAAAACTTAATAAGTAAAATATTATGGCCCCTAAGCAAAAATAGGCCAATTAATATAATAATGGCCCCCAAATATAGCATATATAAGGATGTAATATGTTAATTTTAAAAATTAAAAAATCTGTGTGGAAGAGGATTAACATTTTTATTTTCAAACAGCATTAAACAATTATAAGACTGGTTAATCTTTAACTTACTGTAAACTAGTATGAAGTGATCATAAGACCCCAACAGAAAAAAATTGTAAATGTACTTGAGTAAACATTTAAATAGGTAATACAAGTGACCAATAATTCTATTTTTAAGTGTTTAACATCATAAATATAGGGAAATGTGAATTAAATGGCCATTAAAAAAAAATCTTGTATATTGAGTAAATGTTAATATGCTTTCACCAAATAATTTTGGTTTTAGGAATCCGTTAAAGGAAGCTATCAGAAATTCAAGCCAAGATTTATGTACAGCTATCTTTATCATAACATTGACAAAGCTATGTACATTTTAGAGATTTTGAAATACATAAAATCTGAAAAAGGATTATATTATCTCTGTGTGGCAAAGTTACAAATGTTATTTTATTTATACTTTCAGTTTTTTTAAATATGCATGTGTTACTTGGTTTTTTAAGAGACAGGGTCCTGCTGTCTCCACCCAGGCTGGAATGCAGTGGCTGGAATGCATGGCTCACTGCAGCTCCTGGGCTCCATTAGTTACTTTTTTTTTTTTTTGATGGACTTTATTTTTTAGAGCAGTTTTGAGTTCACAGCAAGATCAAGAGATCTTATGTACATTTCCTGTTCTAACACTCATAGCATCCTCCATGATCAGTATACCCCTCAAGTGGTATATTTCTTACAGTCGATGAACTTACATTGACACATCATTGTCACCCAGAATGCATAGTTTATATAAGGGTTCACTCTGGGTGTTGTACGTTCTGTGGGTTTGGACAAATGTATAATGATGTGTTTACAATTTTATATTATACAGAATAAAAAACCTGCACCATTTAGTCGTTCTTCTTTTCCTCCATTCCTGACAACCACTGGTTTTTTTTTTTAATTGCCTCCATAGTTTTGCCTTTTCTAGAATGTCGTGTACTTAGAATCATAACTGTGTGGCTTTTCACATTGGCTTCTTTCACTTAACAATATGCATTTGTAATTCCTTTATGTCTTTTTGTAGCTTGATAGCTCACTTGTTTTTAGTGCTAAGTAATAAATACTCCGTTACCTAATTTTGCCAGTTTATTTACACATTCACCTACTCAAGGGCATTTTGGTTGCTTCCAAGTTTTGACTATTAGGAATAAAGCTGCTATAAACATACAGGTTTGTGTGTGGATGTAAGTTTTCAACTCTTTGGGTAATACTAAGGAGCACAATTACCAGATTATATGGTAAGAGAATATTTACTTTTTTTTTTTTGAGACGGAGTTTCGCTCTTGTTACCCAGGCTGGAGTGCAATGGCACGATCTCGGCTCACCACAACCTCCACCTCCTGGGTTCAGGCAATTTTCCTACCTGAGCCTCCTGAGTAGCTGGGATTATAGGCACGCGCCACCATGCCCAGCTAATTTTTTTTTTTTTTTGTATTTTTGGTAGAGACGGGGTTTCACCATGTTGACCAGGATGGTCTCAATCTCTTGACCTCGTGATCTACCCGCCTCGGCCTCCCAAAGTGCTGGGATTACAGGCGTGAGCAATCGTGCCCGGCCCAGAGAATATTTACTTTTGTAAGAAACTGCCAAACTGTGTTTCAAAGTGGCTGTATCATTTTGCATTCCCACCAGCAAAGAATGAGCACATCCCACAACTTCATCAGCATTTGATGATGTCATTGTTGTGAATTTTTGCCATTCTACTAGGTGTTTTACTTAAGTCAAAAACCAAAACAAAAGTGAATTTAAAATGAAGAAAAATAAAATAAAGTTCTTTTATTTTGTATAGTTGGCGAGCTTTAGCCCTTCTCCTCCTCCTCCTCCGTACCCTACCACTGTTGGACCAGTAGAGAGCAGTGGATTGAGATCTCGATACCGTTCTTCACCCACCGTCTACAATTCACCCACTGACAAACAAGACTACATGACCGACCTACGAACTTTGGATACTTTCCTTAGAAGTGAAGAAGAGAAACAGCATAGGGTTAAGCTGGGTAATATATATTTTATTTATACCTATTATATGTATTTTTGGTGTCGCTTAGTCCTTAACCTATTATTTTCATTATTTTAATATTCATACATAAAATTTAAAGTCTCTTTTACTAATATACTTTGTTAGCTTGGAGTAAAACATTTTGTTTTATTTTAAATGTAACGTAATTTTATGCAGTTAGAATTAAGGTCACTAAATTCAAGAAGTGAAATATAGATAAACTAAGAAATCTTGAAACTTTTGTCTACAATAAGATTGAAAGCTTTTTTTGCATAATGTAAGTTCAAATTTCTATTTAAAGTTGAGGCTATAAAATAATGTTTTGAAGCAGTGCATAGTGAACTTACTCAAATAATAGCTGTCTCTTTTCAGGTAGTCCTTTGGAAAGTTGGTGCGACAGAGCAGGATGAGAAAGCGTGTATTTACTCTAGAAGCACTGCTGTTTTTCAGAACATTTTTAAACTGTCTTTTAGTATTTCCTGAAGGTATAGTTTACCTTGGGAAAGAGTGTTAGCAAATCTTAATCTGTTTGGGCTGGATTTGATTATTACAGAGTCAATTATTTGAAACCGAATTAGGTTATTGAACTGAGTAATGATGTTTCCCCTCAGGAACATTCACAGAAAGGATATTAGGTGCTAACTGGGCCATGGTGAGGAAGCCAGTTATTGGACCATGGCTCTTTGTGTCGCTTGAAGTCTCACCAGTGATTTTTAATTTAATTTTGCCTGAAAGTGCCACAGATGTTACAGAAACCAATCAATATTATCTTCCTATTTTTGATCATGCTTTTAAAAAAAAAAATTGAAATACATTGAGTCTACTGAAACTTTAATATAGAGTATTATACAAAGAACCTATGAATCCTCTACACATCTTTGTATTACCCACGTATTTTCTGACTTCACTTTTATTCTTTGACCCAGTAGGAGCTATTTAGAAGTAATACCATTATTGTTTGGAAGTGTTAGTGGTGTTGCTTTTAATTTTCAAGCCTGAAGCGGCTTGGTTACCTTTTTTTTCTCCTAAGTTAATTTTACTGTGGTTAGAGAATCTGATCTGTACCCATTAACTTTTTGTTTGTTTGAGACTTGCTTTTAAGTCTGTGTGATCACTTGCTGTAAATGATTTTGGTATATTGAACAGAATGCAGTGTCTAAATTTGGGACTTTCTTTGTTCACTGTCATGCTTCTTGATGGTATTCTTAAATTCTTTTTTTTTAATCAAAGCTACTGCAAATCAATTAAATTCTTTATCTTACTAATTTTTATCTGCTTGATCTGTTGATTATTAGGAAAGTATGTCAAAAGCTCTCAATGATTGTCTTCCATTAAATGTTTTCTCACAATTCTGTCAGATTTGCTAAATATACATATGAGATTATGTTAAATGCATGTAAATTAAGAATTGTGAATATCATTCTGGTAAATTTGCCTTTTATCTTTATCTCTTAGGCTTTTTGCCTTAAAGTCTGTTTCGTCTGACATTGATACATCTATATTAATTTCCTTTTGGTTAGGGTCTGGCTGATTTATCTATCTCTATCCCTATACTTTTAGCCCTTCTGGGCGCATAGATTTTTGAAAGTTAAGTATTTTGTGCAAATTAATTAATAAATGATTAAGTATTTTATGGAAAGCTACTCTAAAACTATATATATATATATCTCCTGTTCCCCATCAAACTTTCGTTTGTTTTTTTTTTGTAGAATTGGTCTCACTCTGTTGCCCAGGCTAGAGTGCAGTGGTACAATCTTGGCTCACTGTAGCTTTGAATTCAGGTCTCAGGTGCCTCTCCCACCTCAGCCTCCTAAGTAGCTGGGACTACAGATGTGCGCCACCATGCCATGCTAATTTTTGTGTTTTTGGTAGAGACAGCGTTTTCTCGAATTCCTGAGCTCACACAGTCCACCCACTTTGGCCTCCAGAAGTGCTGCAATTACAGGCATGAGCCATTGTGCCCAACCCCATCAAACTTTGACTTCGTAGTTCTAACATCCTTTTAAGGTTCTTTTCTAAATTATTACTATGTTGGTTGTCATGGGAGCTTTCCCATTTCATCATTTCTTCTGTATTTCTTTAATACTTTTCCTTTTTTTAAAAAACTGTAATAAAATTTAGTATACATAAAATTTATAATATTAGCCTTTTTTTTTGAGGTGGAGTCTTGCTCTGTCACCCAGGCTGGAGTGCAATGGCGCAGTCTTGGCTCACTGCAACCTCTGCCTCCCAGGTTCAAGCAGTTCTCCCTCAACCTCCCAAGTAGCTGGGATTATAGGCACCTGCCAGCACTCCTGACTAATTTTTGTATGCTTAGTAGAGACGGGATTTCACCATGTTGGCCAGGTTGGTCTCAAACTCCTGACCTCAGGTGATCCACCCGCCTGGGCCTCCCAAAGTGTTGGGATTACAGACATGAGCTACTGCACCTAGCTCAATGTTAGCCATTTTAACTATTTAATTAAGTGCTGTTAAGTACATTTACATTATTGTGCAGCCACCTTTTACATTTATTTGTTGATACTCTGTAAGATAAAGATTTCCTCTCCCTAATTGTGTCACTTATTAGGTTGTCCCAGATTTGTCTAGGGAGATCCTCTGTAAGCTGGCTTTTCTGTTCTTTTGACATGACAGTATCATTCTTTGAGCTGATCCCCCCGCCCCTATTCTGTTTTACCCTTACCCCAGCTTGTTTGGTTTAGTCACTGTGGACTCATGATCAGCTCTTTCTTTAGCAATGTCTAAACTGTTTTTAACTAATTCATTGAGTTTTTAAATTTCAGTCGCTTGTTTTCATTTTATAGTTTTATTTGGTTCTTTTCAAATATGCCACTTTTTTGTAGAATATTTTTTATTCTTACGTTTTCAGTTCCTTTTTTTCTATTGCAGTTGCTTAAATGCACTTATTTAAATAGTTGAGTTATCTAAAGTGCTTAGAGGTTAAATACTGTTCATTTTTGTCTTGTTGGTTGTTATGCCTGGAGGCTTGTTTCCTTTCGATTTATGGAATTTCTGTGTGTTTCTGGTAAGCTTATCTTGGCTGAATGGAGGCCTTGTTTCTTCCTAGCTGTTTTGTATTTTGCCTCTGTTAGGTGCCTTAGGAGTATTATTGCCCTTTAGCTAACTTAAGTGATTTCTAAGCTTGGAGATTCCTGGACCTCAAAGGTAATATAAATGGGCACTCTAAACCTATTCAAAGATGTATCTATAATTTTTAAATCTCAGAGTTTTTTGTTTTTTTCAGATCTCCCAACAACGTATCACAGGCAAGGTTCCATTATCTCCTGGTCCCAGTGAACAGATTTTTTTCTTATCTACTCAGAATGTGGCCCTTTGAGATTCCTGGTCCTCTATCAGGAGCAGGGACTAAGGGTAGGAGAAAGGTGTCAGCCCAACTCTCTACTTCTTATGGGCGCAAATCCTTATGTTCGTTTCCCACGTGGGCAATAAATTCCAAGCTGATATATTTCTCAAGGCCTACAAAATGCTCTAGAGCAGCCACAGCATTCTCTTACAGGCTATTTTGATTTTTAATTCCTTTTTTCATTTTTAACCACTGACTATTCATAGCCTTACTTTTTTGCAAGCTCCATTATTTGTTTAAATAATGTTTTTTTGTTTTTGAGATGGAGTCTAGCTCTGTTGCTAAGGCTGGAGTGCAGTGGGCAATCTTGGCTCACTGAAACCTTTGCCTCTTTGGTTCAAGCAGTTCTCCTGCCCTAGCCTTCTGAGTAGCTAGGATTACAGGCACCTGCCACCACACCTGGCTAATTTTTGTGTTTTTAGTAGAGTTGGGGTTTCACCATGTTGGCCAGGCTGGTCTCGAACTCCTGACTTCAAGTGATCTGCCTGCCTCGGCCTCCCAAAGTGCTGGGATTACAGGTGTGAGCCACTGCGCTGGTCTAAATAATGTATTTTATTTAATAAATGTTTTTAGGTATTTATGGTGGGAGATGTTTTAGGTTATCTGGTATGCTGTGTTGCCAGGTTTCCAAATCTCCATATGCTTTGACTCTGAGGTCTTTGAGATTCTCCAGCTATAGACTTTGTGCTATCGTGGTGGTGGTGGTGGTGGTCATCATGGAAAGGCCCTGTTTTGTCATGACTTGCTATGTATATTTTTCTTGCTTTGACTAATGCCCAGAGGTATTAGAACTTTCTATTTCTATTCGTCGTCTAAAATTTAATCCTCAGTGAAATTTTTCTCAAATTCAAGTTTTTTCAGAGAAAACTTACTTTTCTTAAAATTAATGGTCATAATGATTAATCAAAATGGGATAACTTTATGCTCTGTTATAACCATATTTCTTACTTTCCATTTCTGGTCTCTATTTATTAAATCATTTGTGTTGGTTTACAACTGCTTTTCTTAACATTAATTCATTCCTAAAGTCAATTTTGTCAGAATTTCACACAAAGTGAGATGATGTTTTTTTACCGTATATAAGTTTTTATGCTGGCATGAAACATACTACATTCACCAAAGCTCCTTGGCTAACTTTTAAAAGCTTGATGAATTGAAATATTACTACATATCCCTTTGATGATTTCTTATTCTTTGTACCTGTAAACATAACAGGAAAATCAGTTTTACTGTTTTCTAGTCATTCCTTTTAGAATTCTGCTAAGATTAAAAAAAACAAAAACTTGTTTCTATTTATGAGTTTTATTTGAGGGTGTAAAATATCAACTGATACTTTTTGTGTCAGTCAAACTCTGAAAATATAAGCCTTTCATAAATACCATAGAATTGTTCTCAAGAACGTGCTTATTTATTTAGGCACTATGCCAGATGCTGCCTTCAAGGAGCTCAGATTCTGTTTGGGAAAACAGACAAAAACTCTAACCCTGAAGTATGATGACTATCCTGGTTCAGAGGCCTCGGTAGGAGTACATTCCTAAATAGAATTTTTTTTTTTTACATTTCTTAAAAGTAAATTTATAAATTTAGGAGTATAATCATCAGATAGTCTTTTAATACAACTCAGGAATTACCACAGGCTATTAAATGAAACACAATAAAGTACAGGAGCAAATAAGTTTAGCCTAGAGACTAGTCTTTAGGAGAAGGCTATAGTTATCCCATTCAGAAGGAGCTTCTAAATACTTCAGGCAAAGAACTTGCTTAGCCTATTTATTTCCAAAAGAAATTTGTCTTTTGTTTGTTTGTTTGTTTTGGCACTGAGTCTCACTTTGTCACTCAGGCTTGAGTGCAGTGGTACAATCTCAGCTCACTGTAACCTCCGCTTCCCAAGTTCAAGTGATTCTCCTGCCTCATCCTCCCTAGTAGCTGGGATTACTGGCACCCGACATCACGCCTGGCTAGTGTGTATGTGTGTGTACTTTTTTTGGTAGAGACAGGGTTTCACCATGTTGGCCAGGCTGGTCTCAAACTCCTGACTTAAGCTGATCTCCCCACCTCAGCCTCCCAAAGTGCTGGGATTACAAGCGTGAGCCACTGTACCCTGCCTAAGCCACCATGCCTGGCCATTTCTTACTGAATGATTTGAAGGTCTTAGAGAATGAAATGCACTTAATTTTTCAACAAAACTAGACAGATGCCTTTGACGACTTATTGTTCTTATGGCTCTTCAATTAATACAGCTCAGAAAATATTGTTTTTCATTTTTATCACAAGTAGACTGTGTTCTCCCAAGAGAAAATTATGTGGGGGAGAAGAGAAGCTCATTGAGAGTGTTTGTCTTCTGATTCCTGGATTGCCATTGCCCAGATACAAGTGTTAACTCTAGATGTCAGAATTGCTACAACAGACTGATACTGTTTACCTTAACAATTAATTGCAGGGAGCCCAGATTCCACCTCTCCTTCCAGCAGTCCTACTTTCTGGAACTACAGTCGTTCTATGGGGGATTATGCACAAACTTTAAAGAAGTATCAGTATCAGCTTGCCTGTAGGTCTCAGGCCCCATGTGCTAACAAAGATGAAGCTGATCTCACCTCTAAACAAGCTGCAGAAGAGGTAAGTGGAAAATAAAAGTGACTTAATATTTATGATTTGTGCATTACTAGAAAATCTTCTACTTCTGGAACATTTTTTCTGTAATCTTCCATTCTGCTGGACGGAAGCATAAATCTGGCACATATTAAGCAGTGGGAAGGCTCCTACCTTACTTTGTGTACCTAAAACTAAAAACTAAATTATATCATACCTTTTACTCTGTGACACATGGTTCACCTTAGTGCCCTGCCTGAAACATATTTTTACATTGATTATAAAAAGGCTCTCAGGTATATAATTGTACTTAACATATACAGAAATCTTGCTTTTAAAATATATTTAGATTGGAATATTTGTCAGTAATTTCATCACTTTAATACCAAATACGGAATTTTTATTTTGTTCTTAAAAGCAGGAAAGATGTTCTTTACACATACCAATGTAAGGAACTTTTAAAGATATAACTATGTGTGAATAGTACTTATAAGTGGGTAATAAGAAAATTACCAAATATTATTTAGATGAATATTGGTATTTGGGAAATTTTTTTCCTAAGTTAATTAAATATTTTTTAGGGTAGGAGAAAGCATGATGATTTCTGGCAAGATTTTTCCTCACTGTTCATTTTAAACATGAATTTTTATAGGTTTGGGCAAGAGTGGCTATGAATAGACAACTTCTTGATCATATGGATTCGTGGACAGCTAAGTTTAGAAATGTAAGTTCTGACATTACTCTTTGGACAATATTAGTGCCTCTTAATATGTAATGCATGTTATTAGAATATCATTTAGAGTTTATTATAAATTAGAATATTAGAGTTATTATAAAGGTACAGTATGAATGGCACATATATAAGGATAAACTTATTTTCATGAGATTTTTCCTTCTCCATATTTATTGAATCGATACCTTTTGAGAAGATAAAGGAGTAATATGTTTAGTTATTAAGATCCTCCCTTTTCCACTTTTCAATTTTATTTTCCAAAGAGCTTTTTTTTTTTTTTTTTTTATTTTAATACACTTAGATCCAAAGAGCTTTTTCTGTTGGAGCCTTTTATGTACCCAGAATTGTGAGGGAAACAAAAATGAGGTCCTTGCCCTCAGAAAACTTAAGAGTTTAGAGAGATGAGACCACATATGCTTGAAGCTATTTCAAAATAGATTATGATTTCTATATTTCTAGAGAAGTACCCTCTAATCTTGGGCCAACTTTTCCCTATACAGAATGAGTTAGTTTCCTTTTTTCAACTCCATGTCTTCCTCCCATCCTCTGTAGCACCTGTGTCCCGGGTTCTGTTAGGCATATGGACTCCTCCTTCCACTACATGGAGCGCCACTTAGCTTCAGAAGGGGCTGTTACTTCTGTTGTTTCATCCTTCAACACTCATGCATCCATTCTGCATCTTCTAGAACTATATTGAAATCACTTGTGCTCATTTTTAATCCTTTTACTGTTATTTAAATAGGGTATCAAAATAGAGGGGCAAAAAAATGGTAGCCTACTTTCTTGACCCAGAAACCTGGATGGCAGTTTACAGATAATTCCTGAACCCAATCCTAGACCTACTCGATTAGAATTTATGAGGGTGAGGCCTAGACCTCTCTCTGGGACATGTTAGGTGATTTTGTTACAGCCTAAGAGTGGCTGGCAAATTAAGATGCATGTAGTAAATGTTGGAAGAATGAATGAATGAGATCATGTCCTGGAACTGGAGTTTGTTGTAGTTTCTGTTATAGGCTAGTCTAAAAATGCTGATATGTTTAAAATATGAAGTCTTAGGAGTTAGCTAGAGTTTTTGGAATTTTTAAAAAAATCAATGCATGTGTATACCTGTACCATATATTTTATAACACCAGAGTCTAGTTAGCACCCAGTAATCAACCACATTAATACTTCTGCAGAAAAACATGAATAGTCACACTCAGTGGGATAAAGTTTATACATAGCTTTATGTGAATTCAGATCAAGTCTTGCCATTATATCAAAATTTGCTTGCTTAAATGGATTACAAAAAATGTTTTACATTCCCAGAACGTTTTTATTTCAGTTGTTTATAATATCATATTTCATCTGAAACGTTTTTTCATCCTTTCATTTTATGGATAAACAAAAGATGGAAACAGCAGTGGTAATCGAAGTTGCTACAGGCACATACACAAAACGATAACATACAAACCAGATGGAATGTATCCTTAGACAGTCTTTCCACATCCCAGAATTAGTTGTATGTTAGCCATAGAAAAGGCATTTGAAAATCCCAGTTCTAAAGTAATACTGTAATATTCGCAAGCCAGTTTCAAATGTAATAAGTTTGTTTTTCCACATGGTTAGGGAATTAGGTGAGCCTGCCGAGAGTTAAGCTGTTCCGTTAGTTTGAGAAACTATCTTACTCACAAACCAATGTAAACAGTACATTAATAAATGTGTGAAAAGTTACCCTACAAATGTAAACTGAAGATTATCCTTTTAGCTAAACATAATAATTAGAAATTTTTAAGAAAAAGTTAACATATAGTTAAAAGTTTTATATTTTTTTCAGAAAAAAAATATTAAGAATCTAATTTAGTTCATTTACACTCCAGTGGCCTGTTTATTTAATCCTCTCTTGATTTCGAGTTGGGATTACTTTCATTCTTTTTTTCACTATACTGTACAATTCTTTTAATATACAAGTATAAGATAGTAAAAAAATTCTTAGAGTTGCTTGTAAAAAAGAAAGTAATTATTTGAGAGCTGCTTTGGAATTATGTATCCAAAAATCTGTACCTTATTTCTTCCTAGTGGATCAATGAGACAATATTAGTGCCACTTGTTCAAGAGATTGATTCTGTCAGCACACAGATGAGACGAATGGGTTGTCCGGAGCTACAGATAGGAGGTACGTGGCAACAGAGTCCAGTGCTGGGTTTCTGTCAGTAAATCTGCCGGGTGGAAAATTTCTTCCTCTAATGGACTGCTTAACTTCTTTTGTTACCTTGAGGTGGAAAAAAAAAAAAAATCCAAATGTCTATAATCTAGTTTGTTTGGTTTTTTTTAATGTGACCGCTTTATCAAGATGTAATTTACCTACCATATAATTTATCATTTAAAATGTACAGTCCAAAGTCTTGGGTTGTGCAACCATCGCCAGTTGTCAGTTTTGAAACATTTCATTTCTTGGAAAAGAAACCCTCCACCTTTGACCGGTCAACCCACATTCTATACATTCCTCTCAGCCCTGTGCAAGCGCCAGTCTATTTTCTGTCGCTGTAGATAGGCTTATTGTGGATATTTCATATGAATGGAATCACAGAATATGAATGTGACTTTGTGACTGGCTTCTTTCACTGAGCATAAATGCTTTCAAGGTTTGTCCATGTTGTAGAATTTCTCATTATCTCATTTCCTTTATTGCTGAATAGTATTCAGAATAGATCTACATTTTGCTTGTTCATTCATGACTTGATTGACATTTGGGTTGTTTGCACTTTTTGGCTACTATGAATAATACTGCTGTGAACAGTCATGTGCAGGTGTTTATATGGACCTGTGTTTTCATTTCTCTTGGTATTTGCCTCGGGGTGGAATTGGTATATGCTGAGCTGTATGGTAACTTTGTGTAATCTTTTGAGGCCCTGCCAGACTATTTTAAAGCAGCTAGCTGCACCATTTTATATTCCCACCAGCGTGATTGGGGTTCCGCTTGGTCTTCTTGCAACACTTGTTAAATGTTTTGTAGCCATCCTGTAGTAGGCATGAAATGGAATCACATTTTGGTTTTGATTTGCATTTCCGTGATGACTACTGATGTTTTGTATATCTTCTTAGAAATGTCTTTTTGGATCCTTTACCTGTTTTTAAATTTGGTTACTTGTCTGTTGAGTGGTAGATGTTTTCATTATATATTCTAGATATAAAACCAAGACTCTTAGCAGATGTTAATGACAAAGTTGTATAAAGCATAAAGACTATGTAATAATACTAATTCTCCATCACCTATTTTCAACTCTCTTATCTACTAAAGGTAAAATTTTAGGGTACTATATAAATTGCTTAAAAGATACATACTACAACTTAGTTACTAAGTAATCACCTTTCAGAATATATAAAGAATATTTTAGTCCCAGCTCCTTCTAGAGGACACATTTCTCCTTGAAAAATGTCAAGTACCTTGGGTTGCATCTCAGCACTTTCCATCTACTTTGGGTATTTTTGTTAATTAGTCTTTATTATCTGAACTAAGAATAGAAATGTGCATCCCTAATATGTCTGTTTATTGAATGTCCAAATGTTTCATATGTAATTAACACAGCACTCACATTAACCTTGAAAACTGGCTGTTATTGCCCCATCTTATGGATGAGGCTACTGAGACTCAGTGATGTTGATGATCCTGAACCTATATAGGCCCAGGCTAATACTTGCCCAGTGCATACAGCAGTGATTTGAGGACAGAATTCTCTGACTCCAAAGCCAGATTGGGCACTTTCTAGGTCTTGGAAATATTATTTGAAACCTGTGCATATCCTTTGTAAGTTATAAAAGCACTTATTTTTCACAACATTTCACCACTGTGATACCCTTTTTAAAAAAAATAACAACATTGTGCCGGGCGCGGTGGCTCACGCCTGTAATCCCAGCACTTTGGGAGGCCGGGGCAGGTGGATCACAAGGTCAAGAGATCGAGACCATCGTGGCCAACATGGTGCAACCCCATCTCTACTAAAGGTACAAAAAAATTAGCTGGGCACGGTGGCACACACCTGTAATCACAGCTACTCACGAGGCTGAGGCAGGAGAATTGCCTGATCCCAGGAGGTGGAAGTTGCGGTGAGCCGAGATCACGCCATTGCACTCCAGCCTGGGTAACGAGCGAAACTCCGTCTCAAAAAAATAAATAAATAAATAAATAAATAAACAAACAAAATAAAAAACATTGTTCACTTCTCAGCCTTTTGGCTAAGATCAAGTGTAGTATCTGTTCTTATTTTAAAAAATTAAAAAATAATGACATTGTTTTATCACTACAGACGCAGCATACATTTATTGTAGAAAATTTGTAAAGTACAGAAATCCACAGAAAAGAATATCACCTATAATTCTGCTTCCAGAGATAACCACTCTCAAATTTAAACCACTATCAATTTTAATTAAAATTGATAGTGGTTATCTCAAATACTTGATTTCTGTATTTTTGGAGAAAAAACTGTGACTTGACTTTATACATAGTGTATAGGCCACATCGGCCACATAATGACGTTTCAGTCCATGACGGACCACATATGCAACAGTAGGCCGTAAGATTATAAAGGAGCTGAAAAAATTCCTATTGCCCAGTGACTCGTAGCCATCCCAAGGTTGTAGCAAAAGATATTACTCACATGTTTTTGGTAATGTGTTGCAAACAAACCTGTTGCACTGCCAGTCATATAAAAGTATAGCACATACAATTATGTACAGTACATACTTGATAACGAACAACTGTGTGACTGTTTCATCTGTTTATGTATTTACTGCACCATACTTTTTTTTTTGAGACAGAGTCTCACACTGTCACTAGACGCCAGGCTGGAGTGCAGTGGCGCCATCTCAGCTCACTGCAACTTCCGCCTCCCAGGTTCAAGCAATTCTCCTGCCTCAGCCTCCCGAGTAGCTGGGACTACAGGTGCACGCCACCATGCCCAGCTAATTTTTGTATTTTTTAGTAGAGATGCGGTTTCACCATGTTGGCCAGGATGGTCTCGATCTCTTGACCTCGTGATCTGCCCACCTTGGCCTCCCAAAGTGCTGGGATTACGGGCTTAAGCCACTGCACCCAGCCTACACCATACTTTTTATTGTTTAGAGTGCACCCCTACTTAAAAAAAAATAAAATAAAGGCCAGGTGCAGTAGCTTATGCCTGTAATCCCAGCACTTTGGGAAGTCCAGGCGGGAGGATCACCTGAGCTCAGGAGGTCAAGATCAACTTGGGCAACACTGCAAGACCTACTCTACCAAAAATTAAAAAGAAAAATTAGCCAGGCATGATACAAGTGAGCTTGTAGCCTCAACTATTCAGGAGACTGAGGTAGGAGAATCACTTGAGCCCAGGAGATTGAGTCTGTAATGAACTATGATCACGCTACTGCACTCCAGCCTGGGCAACAGAGCAAGACCCTATGTAAAAAAAAAAAATTTCAACCGTAAAACAGCCTCTTCAGCACATATTCCAGAAGGCAATTTAGAGGAGACGACAGCTCCATGCCTGTTATTGCTCCTGAAGACCTTCCGGTGGGACAAGATGTAAAGGTGGGAGACAGTGATATTGACGATCCTGACCCTTTATAGGCCTAGGCTAATATGTGTTTGTTTTTTAGTTGTTTGTTTGGGTTTTATTTTTGGTTTTGTTTTTGACGGAGTCACACTGTGTTGCACTCACTCCGACCTCTACCTCCTGGGATCAAGCGATTCTCCTGCCTCAGCCTCCTGAGTAGCTGGGACTACAGGGATGTGCCACCATACCTAACTAATGTGTTTTTTTTGTATTTTTAGTAGAGACAGGGTTTCGCCATGTTGGCCAGGCTGTTCTCAAACTCCTAACCTCAGGTGATCGGCCCGCCTCAGCCTCCTGAAGTGCTGGGATTACAGGCATGAGCCACTGCACCCGGCTGTGTCTTAGTTTTTAACAAAAAAGATTTAAAAAAATAAAAGTAATTTAAAAGTAAAAACAAAGAAAAGCTTATGGGATAAACATACACAGAAAGTGTTTTTGTATAGCTGGCCAGTGTGTTTGTGCTTTAAGTTGTTTTTACAAAAGAGTCTAAAAGTTTTTTAAAAACGTAAAAGTAAAGTAAAAAAGTTACAGTAAACTAAGGTTAATTTTTATTGAAGAAAGAAAATTTTTAAAACTAAATTTAGCCTAAATGTACAAAGTTTATAGTCTTTAGTAGTACACAGTAATGTCCCAGGGCTTCACATTCATAGACCGCTCGCTCATTGACTCACTCGCCCATTCAACCAGAGCAACTGCCAGTCCTGCCAGCTTCATTTGTAGGTTATTGGTCATAGGGTTTTGTTACCTGCTCCCCACAACATTATTCCATTTTGTTAAATAGTTTCCAGCATTTTTTGTTCTTTTTTTAACTAACCTGTCTCACAATATTCTCCAGCATTATTTTTATGGCTACGTTGTATTTTTTTAATATATATATACAATGTTTAACCAATTTCTAAATTCAAGGGTTTTTTTTTTTTTACTATTAATGCTACAGTGAATATCCTTTTGCCAAATCTTTGTGTACATTTGTAATTATTTATTGAGAATAATTTCTTAGAGTTGTGTGTCAATAGGTATGGATATTTTACAATTATTTTTGTTGTTGTTTTCGAGACAGAGTCGCTCTTTTGCCCATGAGGGAATACAGTGGTGCTGTCACAGCTCAGTACAGCCTCATCCTCCTGGGCACAAGAGATTCTCCCACCTCAGCCCCCTCCAAGTAGCTAAGACTACAGGCACACCCCTCCACGCCTGCCTGATTTTTTTGTATTTTTGTAGAGACAGGGTGCCCAGGCTGTTCTTGAACTCCCGAGCTCAATCAGTCCCTCCATGTTGGCTTCCCAAAGTGCTAGGATTACAGGCATGAGCCAGTGCACCTAGACATATTTTAAGGTTTTTTTTTTTATACACATTTCTCTTCAAAAAGCTTATGCCAGTTTATACTCTAGCAACCATGACACATATAAGAATGCTTTTCCTTACATTGGATATTGCTAGTAAGGTTGGATATTTTGAAATGCTTAATTGGTTTTTAAATTTCTATGGATAGTTACCTTGCAGGATATGATAAGAGAAAAAGAAATCACTACCAAAAAAAGCTTCCGCTTTCCTGGCATAATGGGCAACTTCTAATTCAACTTACTTTGAAAATGATATGTCTCCTTTTATACATGTCCTGTAAAAATTTTCTGTATATTAGTTGTTCATAGATTTGCCAGATGGATTTGGCTGCTTCCCTGGGGAAGGGGAGGGATGTTGTATGTGTAAATCTGGCTACCTTGCCAGATTAGTTGTAGGTAAAGTAGATCGTGCAAATTAAAATGAACTATTCTTGCTTTCTTTCATTTATTCCTTCAACATTGAGTGCCTAATCTGTGCTGGGAATTTACTATTCCAGGCATTGGGAGATACAGCAGTGAGCAAAATGGCCAAAGTCCCTGCACTCATTAAGCTTTCATTCTAGCAGATGAGACAGATAATAAAAGATAAAGTACATTGGGCCAAGCACGATGGCTCACACCTGTAATTTCAAACACTTTGGGAGTCTAGGGTTGGTAGATTGCTTGAGCCCAGGAGTTTAAGACCAGCCTAGGCAATATAGTGAGACCTTGTCTCTGCTAAATTAAAAAAAAGGAAAAAGTCAACCAGGCATGGTGGCACATGCCTAAAGTCACGGGAAGCTGAGATGGGAGGATTGCTTGAGCCCCAGAGATTGAGGCTGCAGTGAGTGGTGTTTGCCCCGCTATACTCCAGCCTGGGTGACAGAGCAAGACACTGTCTCAACAACAACAACAACAAAAAAGTACATTGGACAGTGGTTTGTGCTAAGGAGAACAAAAGCCCAGGGGTGTTGTTATTCATGTGTAGAGAGGAGGGGTGAAATTTGAGGTGGGGTGGTCAGGGGAGGCATCATGGGCTTATATAAAGACCTGAAGGCAGTGACGAACCAACTATATGAACACATGACAAGAGCATTTTAAGTTCTTTTGGAAACACATTTAGAATAATCTGTGTTCTCTGTTTTATTTTAACAGAGGCTAGTATTACTAGCTTGAAACAAGCCGCCCTGGTTAAAGCCCCTCTCATTCCAACTTTGAACACAATCGTTCAGTATCTAGACCTTACACCGAATCAGGAATACTTGTTTGAAAGGATCAAAGGTAATTATTGATTTGAAGAGGAAAAAGTAAGAGCTTTTTTACTCCACTGGAATTTTATCAATAAAGATTAACAAGAAAAAACTTTTAATTAAAAGGATAATTTATGTCTTATAAATACATATCTAATTATGGCTTAATGGTTTTATTTTGTGTAGGAAGCTTAAATATGAGCTAAGTGGTCTCCAGTGAATATTTCACTCATTCCTACTTTTAGACTTATAAGAATGGGTGCCACTATGACATTCTTTCTAATTCCTGTATGCTGAGCCTTGTTTCTCTTAATTCTTATAATTCCTATCTAATAAGTTGCTTCCTTATATATCTGTTATATTCTTTTTTTTTTTATTTATTTTTTATTTTTTTAAAGGCTAGTCAAGTGAAGCAGTGGGAGTGGAGAAGGAACAAAGAAATCTGTAACTGGTTGTGATCAATTAGTTGTAAACACCACTGCACTTGGACCAGCCTATATCTGTTATATTCTTATATTTGGTGGGAGATGTGAGTTTCTGAGATACTGACTTGAGAATCAGGAAATGTAGCCTCTCCGTCACCCCCACACACCCTTTATTGCCTCTCTACTCACAGAGCAGTTAAAAAGTTAGAATTTCTTTTAATTGAGATAAACTTTTTAAAGGTTCTCATCACTAAGACAAGTTTTAGAAATAGTATTCAAATTTATCATAAATCTTAATTTGAAAGTTATAATGTTCTCTCTTTCCCTTAAGGTTAGATCAGCGTTCAGAAATAAACATTTTGCGTGACTTTTAAAAACATTTTATATAAGGAAAATTTCAAACATACACAAAACTAGACAAAATAGTGTACATACCCATCTTGTACACATCAGCCAGCCCCCACAATCACTAGTCCCTGGGTAGCCCCTGCCCTATCCATACCCCATCCACTTTCTTCCTGTATTATTTGAAGCAAACCCTACATTATCAGTTCATCTGTAAATATTTCCTTGTATATCACAAGGATAAGCCTCCTGCAACCCCCTGTTTTTGAGACAGGGTCTTGCTATGTTGCCTAGGCTGATCTCCAATGCCGAGGCTCAAGCAATCCTCCCACCTCAGCCTCCTAAAGTGCTGGGATTATAGACATGAGCCACCATGCCCAGCTGAGCCTTTGAAAACTAATAGAACCATACATAACCATGATACAATTATCATTCTGAATTTTTTTTTTTTTGAGACGGGGGCTCTCTCTGTCACCCAGGCTGGAGTGCAATAGTGGCACTAGTGCAGGATTGTGTAGCTCCCTGCAGCCTTGAACTCCTGGCTATGGCAGTCCTCTCTCAGGCTTCCAAAGTGCTGAGATTACAGGAGTGAACCACTATGTTGCCTGGCCCTAGTATTCTTTATGTTATGAGATATTAAGTCTATATTCAAATTTCCAGCTATCTCATAAATTACGTAATTTTTGGCAATGTTTGTTTGAGTTGTAATTCAAGTATTGTAATACATTGCAATTTGTTATTTAAGTTCATTTTGAGCTATATGCTTCCTATCCACCTTTTTTTCCCCTTTGCAATTTATTTGTCAGAAGAACTGGATTGTGTTTGTCTTGCAGAGTTTCCCATAGGGTGGGTTTTGCTGAATGCATCCCTATGGTGTAGTTTTACATAACCCCTTCTCTTTTCTACAGATTCGTGTTTGAGTTTTTTGGCAAGATTGCCTTGTAGATAGCAGGGTATTTGTACATCAAGAAAAAAAAAGTGTCTGTGTGGACACATATACAAAGTATATAAAGATATATCAAATAAACAAAAAAGCTTAAAAGAATACAGTGAACACTGTGCTCTTCTTGGATAGTTAGCAACATTTTGCCATATTTGATTCTCTCTCTCTCTCTCTCTCTCTCTCTCTCTCTCTCTCTATATATATATATATATATAGACACACACACACTTTTTTTTTGCTGTACCATTTGAAAGTACACTGCAGACATCATTACTTTTTAGCATGCATTCTCCTACAAGTAACAACATTCTCCTACGTAGCCATAATACAATTACCATACCTTAAAAAATAATAATTTTCTGATACCGAATGTATTGTCCATATTCAAATTTTCCCTACCCCTCGACTTCTTTTGAGAACCCTGAATAGTAGTCAGATAAATCCAAAATCCCACATTTTGGATTCTCATTTCTTCATGGTGATGTTTATCTTTTTTATATCTTGTATTTCTTTAGGTTTTGATCAAGTTTTTAAGATGATTTGCTTCCCTTATTATATTCCCTTAGCCTTTTATTATTTTTTCTTTTTTGCATACTCTTAGCTTTTAAAAATTTCACCTTGTTGCCACAGAACTTTCTCAGGGCGGTTGTATGAGTTCATTTCGATGGAACAGAGGTGGCGACTTCAAAGGACGAAAATGGGATACAGACCTGCCCACGGATTCTGCTGTAAGCCCCTAGATTCATTCATTTATTTATTTACTGTTGATTGATTTGACTGACACAGGGTCTCACTCTGTCATCCAGGCTGGAGTGCAGTGGTGCATTCATGACTCACTGCAGCTTTGATCTCCCACATCTCGAGTGTTCCTACCAGCTCAGCCTCCCAAGTAGCTGGGACTAGGCCTGCGCCACCTCACCCAGGTAATTTTTTGTATTTTTTATAGAGATAGGGGTCGCACTTTTTTGCCCAGGCTGGTCTCAAAGTCTTAGGTTCAAGTGATCCCCTGCCTCATCTTCGCAAAGGGCTTGGGTTACAGACATGAGCTCCTATACCTGACCCTTAGATTTATTTATGTATTTTTTTATTTTTATTTTTTCAGTTTAATGTTTTTGTTAGTGGATTTTTGTGTTTTTGTTTGCCTATTATAAGTATTAAAAATAATTTAGGGCCAGACGCGGTGGCTCACACCTGTAATCCCAGCACTTTGGGAGGCTGAGGCAGGCAGATTACGAGATCAAGAGATCGAGACCATCCTGGCCAACATAATGAAACCCCATTTCTACTAAAAAATACAAAATAATAGCTGGGTGTGGTTGTGCGCGCCTGTAATCCCAGCTACTCGGGAGGCCGAGGCAGGAGAATTGCTTGAACCCAGGAGGCAGAGGTTGCAGTGAGCCGCCAGTTGCACTCCAGCCTGACGACACAGCGAGACTCTGTCTCAAAAAATTTAGAAAATAAGGTATTTACAATAGTATCAGCATGTTCACCCAACCACTGTTAATATTTTGTGTATTTTTTACTTTACTGGTGGCTACTGTTTTTAGTGTTTTTATCATAGTTGTAATTCTTTTATATGTAAAATTATATATTCTTTTTTTCCACTTCTGCAACTTAGGGTTGTTTTTCTACAGCCTCCTCCTACCTAGATTTTTTTTTTTTTTTTTTTTTCATTATTATACACTGTCATTTAACTATTCTCCTATAGTGGACCTGAAAGGTTGAGAAACTTGTGGTAGAGAAGGGATTTTCACCTATTTTTTGATCTTAAGTAACGTGGGATGCAATAGTGTGGTGCATGTTGCTTTCTTTCTGGGGATTGTCACTTTAACAGAGACTCCTAGAATTATATTTAGGAGATAAAGAACATAAATGTTCTTATGTGCTTACGAGTTTTTCAAGATTATATTCCCTTGTTTTCATATAGTGCCTGTTAGGGGTGAAAATTAAGTTTGAAATGTTGAGATTCAGATTGAGAATTGAATGTACTTTATCTTGGTTTTGCTATTAACTGTATTGTTATGAATGATTCACTTAGCAGAAAACTGATAATGCCCTCCTTTTCTGGGGTTGCTATGGAAAAGTGAAAATGAGGATCAAATATGTAGGGAATGGGAGTCTGGTATTTAAGCCCCACCCTCCACCTCCACCCCCACCAGATAATGGCAACTGTGTAGGCTGGAGTATTTAAGCTTTTTCAATTTGAAAAGGAAACCTTCCCATCAAAATACAGACTTATTTGATGACAAATATATTTTTGTATTTTAAATTTTGAGTAGATTATTTGAATTAAGGCTAGCTTTATGTCTTAAATACACTGAATTTCTTTATGATTTAAGAGAGGAATTTATGAATTTCTTATCTTTATAGGAAATAACACTTTCAATTAAAAGACTAGGTGTACTACCTGAATTAGATGTTTTTATCTTTTTATTCTACAGATTTTAACTTATAAATCTAACCCATTTCACAGCATTTTTTTTTTAATTTAAAGCATGGTGGTTTGGATGACAGTATTTTTATAATTCACCCTTTAGAGAAAAATTTTTTAATTGGAATTGTTATAAATACAGATGTTTCTAAAGAGCTACATCCATGCTAGATTTTCATGCTGACTTAAGGAAAAAAAAAATTGTCTCTTCGTCCTCAGATCATTATGCATGTATTTTGCACCTACCTTGATTCCAGATTACCTCCACACCCTAAGTATCCCGACGGGAAAACGTTTACTTCTCAGCACTTTGTTCAGACACCGAATAAGCCAGGTATAAACCTCTCCTAAAAGAATGTGTTGAGATTTTCACACAAAATATCTTTGGGGGTTTGGTTTTTTAATGCAGCATATTTCCTTCCTTTATAGATGTCACGAATGAGAATGTTTTTTGCATTTATCAGAGTGCCATCAACCCTCCCCATTATGAGCTGATCTACCAGCGTCACGTATACAATCTGCCAAAGGTATTTCTATGTAGGGAAGGTGCTGTTATAGAATGTCTGGGCTGATCTGCTTTGACAATGTTTTTAAAATTATAATCTTGTGTTAATAGAAGTAGTAAATGTTTTTAATTAGAGGAAATGTGTTTCATACATATATATTTCTTACTATAAAAGTAATATGTTCTTAATTTGGGAAATACAAAGAAAAAGAAGGAAAATCACTCCTTCCATTCCCTGAGGCAGCCATTGTTGATTTTTTTGATTGGTGTATTGCCTTTTGGTCAATTTCATTTTGGCCTTACCTCTTTTTTTTAGAGGCAGAGTCTAGCTCTGTCAGCTGGGCTGGAGTGCAGGGGCATGATCATAGCTCATCGTAGCCTTGAACTTACGGGCTCAAGAAGCCCTTCCACCTCAGCCTCACAAGTAGTTAGGACTACAAGCACACTCTAGTGAACCTAGCCGATTTATTTATTTTTGGTAGAGACAGAGTCTCTACAAAAAGTGTTGATCAGACTGGTCATGTACCCTTGGCCTTAAGCAGTCCTCCCACCTCAGCCTCCGAAAGTGCTGGGATTACAGGCGTGAGCCACTGCACCTGGCCCTTTCCTTGTATTTCCTATGGGCGAAAATTATAGTTTTATATCCTCCTTTTAAGTATTAGCTTTATAGCATAATTTTTCATTTTATTAAAAATCATTGTAAAAAATGTTTTGTTGTTTTGTTTTTTGAGACAGTTTCACTCATGTCGCCCAGGCTGGAGTGCAGTGGCGCATTCTCAGCTCACTGCAACCTCTGACTCCTGGGTTCAAGCAGTTCTCTTGCCTCAGCCTCCCCAGTAGCTAGGATTATAGGCACCCACCACCATACCCAGCTAGTTTTTGGTGTTTTATTTTGTTTTTTTGAGACAGAGTCTTACTCTGTCACCCAGGCTGGAGTGGAGGATCACAATCTTGGTTCACTACAACCTCCACCTCCCTGGTTCAAGTGATTCTCCTGCCTGAGCCTCCCAGGTAGCTGGGGTTACAGGCGCCTGCCACCATGCCTGACTAATTTTTTGTATTTTAGCAGAGACAGGGTTGCACTGTTTTGCGCTGGTCTGGAACTCCTGAGCTCAGGCGACCCATCTGCCTTGGCCTCCAAAGTGCTAGGATTACAGGCGTGAGCCACTGCACCTGGCCATTTTTGTACTTTTATTATAGATGGGGTTTTACCATGTTGGCCAGGGTGGCCTCGAACTCTTGACCTCAAGTGATCTACCCACCTTGGCCTCCAAAGTGCTGGGATTACAGGCATGACCCAGCACGCCCAGCCTAAAAATACTTCTTAATGGCTATAAAAAAAACTTCACTAGCATAATGTATTCAACCATTTCTCTCCTATTGTATCTTTTGGGTATTTCTAATTTTTTAGTTTATAAATACTGCTTAAAAATGTATCTTCATGCATATAGCTGTCTGCATTTCTTTAGCCCAGAGCTCTAACAGTGGAATTCTAGGTCAAGTTCTTTTAAGAACTTTAAAAATAGTATATTACCAAATTACTTTATAATAAAGGTTATTGTATCAATTTATACTTTCACTGAAGTGTTTTACTTCTTTTTTTGAGGTAGTCTTGCTGTGTTGCCCAGGCTGGTGTCAAATTCCTGGGTTCAAGCAGTCTCCTCCTGCCTCAGCCTCTGGAGTAGCTAAGATAATAGGCACCTGCAGGCTTTTTAGTCTTAATTGCAAGTATCAGTTCTGTTGAAAACATTGCAGTTATTTTGTTACCAGCATCTTTACTGAAAAGTTTTACTTTGGCTATAATGATAAATTGTGTTCTCAGGTTCTCAGAAAAATATATTAATTTCATTTCTTTTAAGTTTAATATTTTAACTTTGTGTGTAAATATTTTGGGCCATTGAAGTTCTTGTGAATATCCATGCCAATCTTCTTCTGTTTTTTTGGCCACTGTCTTTTTTCCTTTTTCTTACGTATAAACACTATCTTTTAAAAATCATACATTCTCTCAGATTCTTGAGTTAAAAACACATTAAATCAGAGTAAGTGGGGAAAAGTTAATCAGTAAATTGAAAATCTAAAGTAAGAGCTGTTTTCACAGACTAAAAATTACATAGTTTGATTTTAGAGCTAGCAAAATGCTGCCTTGTATTCCCTTGCAGGTAAAATAAATTTATATTTCGGCCCAGTGCAGTGGCTCATGCCTGTAATCCCAGGACTTTGGGAGGCCAAGGCGGGCAGATCATGAGGTCAGGAGTTCAAGACCACTCCGGCCAACATAAGATGGTGAAACCCCATCTCTACAAAAATACAAAAATTAGCCAGATGTGCTGGTGGATATCTGTAATCCCAGCTACTCAGGAGGCTGAGGCAGAAGAATTGCTTGAACCTGGGAGGCGGAGGTTACAGTGAGCCAAGACGACGCCATTGCACTCCAGCCTGGGTGACAGAGTGAGACTCCATCTCAATAAATGAAAAATAAATTTATATTTAATATGTTATATATATGCTAACGTATACTCTGATGTCTTTTAAAGTATGACTGAAAGGTTTTTTCATCCCAACACTTGTTTATGCCATTAATTTTAAGGACAGAGCATTTTTTGGTGTGGTGTACAGAGGCACCAACCTCAGAATAGCTCTCCAACCTCTTTCATGCCTTAGTAAATATTTTTCCCCATGTGTGAAACAGGCCCTCCCAGTCCCAGTTTGTTATCTTTCTGCTTATCTTTCAGGTTGCAACTTAAAAATCTTTCCCTCAAGGAGGCATTCTGTCCCTAACCACCCTAAATCAGATACTGCATCTTCATGTGTTCCTATGGTACCTACACCTCCTCTCATAGCATTCCTTATACTTTGTTGTAATTCTTAGTTTACTGTCTGCCTTTCCTCTCAGGCCTTATGTCCTTGATTACATGTATCCTTTCTGTCTTACTGCAGTATTCCACTTCCTGGCACAAAGCGTAGGCACTTTGTTTAATGAATAAATGAAAGTCTGAATTATATGGAATTCTGAGTTAGTAGGCTATGACATGATAATATACGCATTTACCTACCAGATTGAATCTTCTCAATTTGATTTAAATCTTGTGTTTCTTTTTTTTTTTTTTTTTTGTCTTTGTTCCAGGGCAGAAATAATATGTTTCATACGTTGTTGATGTTTCTCTACATCATAAAAACCAAAGAGTCAGGAATGCTTGGGTAGGTCTTTATGTTTTAAAAACATAAGGAGTTACTTACTGATTTTCTTCCTATTTTAAGATTCTACGGAAGGCAGCAGCATGGATTGAGCAATAGATGATGACTTTAGCCCTGTCACAAACTAGCTCTGCTATTTTGGGCAAGTCCATTAACTAACTCTTCAGAACCCATTGGTAAAAGGCAAATGAATGACGTCATTAGCATTACAGTTGTGTTCCCTGGAGGAATAACTCAGAGATAGATAAAAATTAGACTCTTACTGTTTAAAAAAGTTTTTTAAAATCTGGAGGCTGTTTCTTTCAAGCCATTTCATTTCATACACAAAGCATTCTGCAAAGTATATACACTTCCAGAGAGACTAAGCCAGTACCCATTCCATAATATCATTAACTGGAATGGAAAAGCAGTCAGTCGAAATCATTTACATACTTCATAGCAAAGCTCACGTATTGCAAGAAATTCAAAATTTTTGTATTGTCATTTTGATGATTACAAATTTTAGTGTATCAAGTGACATTTTGATGATTACAGATTTTAGTGTATCAAGTGACATGTATCAAGACCCCAGCTAAAGCTAGGGATATGTATAGTGCCTGATCTGGGAGTTGGAAAACCTGGCTTCTGGGTCCAGCTCTGCCATAATAAGTAACCTTAGGCTAGCAAAAAAAAGTGGGGGGGATGGGCTTGGAGCAGAAGGGATTGTAGTCATTTCACCTTCTAATATGCATGCCTGTTTTAAGTTTTAGATAGCATCCTGCTTGTAATTTAGAGTTTACACATGTCCTAGAACTGTGCTGTCCAGTCCAGTAGCCACCAGCCCCATGTGTCACTGAACACTTGAAATATGACTAATCCAAATTGAGGTGCACTAAAGGGTAAAATACGTAATAGATCTCAAAGACATGGCCCCCGAAAAGTAAGATAACTCTTTAATAACTGTATATATTTGTTACATATTGAAATACTAGTTTGGATATATTTAGTTAAGTGGAATATATTCTTAATTTCATCTGTTTCTTTTTACTTTATTAGATATCTACTAGAAAATTTTAAATTATTTATGTGGCTCGCATTTGTGGTTCATATCATTGAATTTTTATTGGACAGCACTGCTCTAGAGAAAGCAAAGCTCCTGTCTTTAAATAGATGCAAAGATTAAAACAGACATGAAGAGAAATTTGTAAACAAATATGAACATTTATTAGCTTCTTTTTTTTTTTTGAGATGGGATCTCGTTGTGTTGCCCAGGCCAGAGTACAGTGGCTCTATCTCAGCTCACTGCAGCCTCTGCCTCCCAAGTAGCTGACTAAGTAGGGCCCTCCCAAGTAGAGACTACAGATGCCCACCACGATGCTCGGGTAATTTGTCTTTTTGGTAGAGATGGGATCACCTCAGGTGATCCGCCTGCCTGGCCTCCCAAAGTGCTGGAATTATAGGCGTGAGCTACCATGCCTGGCTATTTGCATCTTTTATCATATATTTTTTAATGTAGGAAAGATTAGGAAACTCACTTTTGTGAGACATCTAAACTAACAGGGTTTTTTATTTTTACATTATGAAAATAATGCATACTCAGTAGACAAGTATTTAAATAACACAGCAGTGAATAAATTAGAACTAATTTCTAATTTTGTGTAGAGAGACAGCATCTCACTGTATTGCCCAGGCTGTGATCCACCTGCCTTGGCCTCCTAAAGTGCTGGGGTTACAAGCATATTCCACTCCACCTGGCTTTATTTTTATTTCTTTTGCTTAAAAATATATTGTATCCAAACATAGTACTTTATGATTTAATTTTTAGTCTTATGGTATATCTTGGATGTTCTCCCATGTCAAATTTTCCCTAAAGGTTCTAGGAATGTTTGGTTATAAATATACTTACACATATCTATTAGATGGAATTTGATATAACTGTGTTGTTAATACAGATCAAGTATTCTTTCTCTGGAGTGTTTCGGATTTCATTTTCTTAGGTTTTGGAATATTTGCAGTAATCGCTGCTTGAGCATCCCTAATCTAAAAATCCAGAATGCTCCAGGGAGCATTTCCTTTGAGCATCATGTTGTCACTCAGAAAGTTTGGGGTTTTGAAGCATTTCGGATTTTCAGATTACAGGTGCTCAACCTGTATAATATAAATAATTAAGTTTTGGTTTTAATTGAAAATATATCCTTTCCTCTGTTGATCCAAATTGATATTTTGATGCATAAATGGTTTGTCATGATAGCATGAGGTTTGAGTGCCATGTACGGTCTGTCATATGCATTAAAATGAAAAAGTGCTTAGTGGAGCAGCACTTTTTCATTTACTGAAATGTAATGAAATTTACTGAAAGGCCAAAAGAAATTGATACAATTTTTAAAATGCTTATCGTCTCTTAATGAGCAGCCTATATGTGGAAAATAAGCATTTTAGACTAAAACTAGTAAGTGTTTTTAAACTCGGGGAAAACTTGGAAATTATTAACCTTTCAAACATAAATAATTTTTTGAATACATTCTAAAACAAATGGTTAAAAACTTTCCTGTAACTTAAAGGAGGTAAGTGAGTGGCTTCATTTGGATTCATGATCCAAATACATTATCAATTTAATGCCAGATATTTGTGCAGTAACTGGAATCAGATGAAGGTTCTACTTGCAAAAGAAAAAAAAATCAAGACAATTGACTGCACTAAATGTTGTGTTCAGGAAAAGATACTGTAAAGTTTAAAGCAAAATAACAAACTGAAACAAAGCGTTAGTCTGTAATAATATGAGCAGTAGTAATTGGGTTTTCAAATACAGCAAACCCAAGCTAATATTTGTTATACATAAAGAATATGTATGATTTTATTAGAAAAATGGACAAAGACACGAAAGGTTTCTTCATAAAGTGTGCAGACAGCTCCTGAACTCAAGAAGATGCTTCAACTCATGCACAAACAAGTCAAAAATTTTTTTCTGTCCAATTGGTATCTATCATTTGTAGTGTTGGTGAAGGTAAAACTGATAGAAATTACATGTTTCAAAGAGCTTTTTTGGCAACTTTTTACCAAAGTTAATACATTCTCATGATTTTAAAAGTCACCTAGGGCTAAAAGTTCATGACAGGAATGAGCAATTCCCTGTATTCCTCAAGTCTGCTTCCCAAAGTAGATGTGTTCCCCTGTGGCTTTTTCTTCTGTTATTACTCTCATAGTTCCTAATAGAGGTATACAGCTCTCTTGATTCTTCAGTTTCAGACATTATCTGTTGATTTTTTTATTTTGTTAGGCGAGTAATTTCTTTCTCTTATAGCCCTCTTCTCATTCCCTCAGACTTTGAATAGAGTCATATTACCTTCTGGAAGAGAAGTATGTGTATTTTTGTTGTCATCTGCGGTATGGTTTAGTTTAAGATGTATTAATAATCCACATAAGTATCCCCAGTAGTTAGGTAATTCCTAATTGAAGTCAAGTCAATACTGTTTTCTGAGAGGCTGGCATCTCCATATCTTCCATCTTTAAATGTAATTGATACTTTTATTTCAGTCTCGCTTATTAAAATTGTTCTGTTAGCTATTACCTGGTGTAATAGTTCTTGTTAACTGAAAAACTAATTTTCAACACTCCATAAATATATTTATTCTAAATTTGGGTTTTAAGCATAGTTAAGAAAGTAATTACTGTTACTAGAATTCACCTGTTAAACTATGTATAACATAATTCATTGCAGAATCATATTTAAATATCAATTAAACATGTATTACTCATAAAGATTTTGTTATTAATAAAATGCTTAAATGCTTGGCAAGCAATTCTGTTGAAACTTTGTTTTCTTTTTTAGGAGAGTTAATCTTGGTCTATCTGGCGTGAATGTATTGTGGATCTTTGGCGAGTAGCAAGTCATACATTTAATTCCAGGCATTTGGACTTTTATTTCACTGAACCAGAAGTTGAAACTAAACATCTCTGAGTCACTGCCTCTCCTGAAATAAAATACGCATGTCTGTATGTTACAGTCTTGAAATTTAATGAAAAATGGAGCTATTATCAAATGTCATTTTAAAAATATGTCATGTAGTTTCTATATCAAGAGACGTTACCTTTAATATTTTATCTTTTTCAGGAATTTCAGTTGACTACAAAACTGCAACCCGTCAGATATTTATTGACTCAAAACAGTGCGATTCCCCTTAATGAAATAGATTTTTAGTCCTTTTTTCATTATAACCCCCAAATGAGAATCATCTACTTGATTCTTCCACCACAAAAAACATTTTTCAGTCTTTTTTTTCTCTTTTTCTTTTTTTGAGACAGGGTCTCTGTTGGCCAGACTGGAATGCAGTGGCACGATCTCAGCTCACTTCAACTTCTTCCTTCCAGGCTCAAGCGATTCTCCCGCCTCAGCCTCCCAAGTAGTGGGGATTACAGGCACACACCACCGCGCCTGGCTAATTTTTGTATTTTTAGTAGAGACAGAGTTTTACCATGTTGACCCAGCTGGTCTTGAACTCCTGACCTCACTCAGGTGATCCACCCACCTCAGCCTCCCAAAGTGCTGGGAATATAGGCGTGAGCCACTGTGCCTGGTCTCAAGTCATTTTATTTAATAGTATAAGTACTTAGAAAATAAGAAAATTGCTGACTTGTTGTTTTTTATGTTTCCTCAGTGTTCTGCAAGTTAGCCCAAAGCCCAAATTCCAAGAAATGAGATTAACTCTTAAGTAATGTAAAAAAGTGTATGTATATTTTAAAATACTATTAAAAGAGGTTTGACAGTATTGACATTTAAAAAGTCAGCACTTGGATTAAATGTAGCTGGTAGAATTAATTTGGATTTTAGTTAAGAGTCTGGGGATATCAAGAAAACTGTTTATCACTTTGGTTTTTAGCAAATCAGTTTCACTATTCCATAATACCATGTTACTAGAGAGTTCTTTTTTTAAGATCACAGTGATATCCTATCTGTTTAAATTTTTTTCATATGTTCAAAATATCTAGAGGGTGAGAAGTTACCAACTTTGTATGTTTTGTTTGACTCGCCATCTTTATTTTCTGTATGTGTATGTCGTAGCTGGCAACTGCATATTTTTTTTTGATTAACCTCTTGGAGACTGCTTCCATCATCTATGTCAACCCGGAAACAGCTGAAGCTAGCCTTTTCTGAAGAACTGTGTATCAGTATTATCTGTACATCCCATTTGTCTTACCTTCAGATTTTGAATACAGTCATATTACTCTGGAAGGGAAGTGTACGTATTTTTTTTGTTATCTGCAGTATGGTTTAGTGTAAGATGCATTAAGAATACGCATATGCAAACTCACTGAAGGGTCCCCAGCAATTAGTAAATTCCTAATTCAATTCAGTACAGTTCTCTCTTTGTAAATTCTGTCTTTTAAAGAGTTTTTCGTGTTTTTAAAAGTAGATATCCAAAGGAAACTCATTTAAGTGCTTTTGGTGTATGTTAAACATTTATTTGCTGTGATATTCTAGAATAAAATATCAAACATGTTTAAATACATGAACATGTTTAAATTTGCTATTTCAGAAGTTACTGAAGATGCTTTGGAATAACAGTTGTTATACTGTTGAACTATACAGTTGCATATACTTTCTTTTTTTTTTTTTTTGAGACAGTCTTGTTGTTACCCAGACTGTAGTGCAATGGCACGATCTCGGCTCACCGCAACCTCCGCCTGCTGGGTTCAAGCAATTCTCCTGCCTCAGCCTCCCGAGTAGCTGGGACTACAGGCGCGCACCACCATGCCCAGCTAATTTTTGTATTTTTAGTAGAGACGGGGTTTCACCTCATTGACCAGGATGGTCTCGATCTCTTGACCTCGTGATCCACTCGCCGCGGCCTCCCAAAGTGCTAGAATTATAGGTGTGAGCCACTGCACCCGGCCCTGCATATACTTTCTTAAAAGCACTATGGAGAAAAATTTTAATGCATAAGACAAAAGGTCTTTTTTTCTTTATAGCACTTAAATAGCTTTTAGTCTCAAAATTCAGAGCTACAATATTTTATTTTCAAAGTGACTATTAAAAAATGCAGTCTACAGTAAATATATACATAGGGATACACACTTAAAAAGATGTTTTGTTTGCATACTATTAATAAGTCTAGTGTGGATTACTGTACTCTGGGTAGCCTTCCTATGTTAACTTTTCTTCCCAAATACTTGAGCCAGTTTGTACTTAAATATAGCTTTTATTAAAAATACTTTGGTGGATTCATTTGAATTCACCCCTCAGGAAGACAGTGCACTGCAAATAAGGCCATTTTTTTAGTCCTTGTGTTAAAATGAATAAATGTCTACTAATATCTCTGATCAGACGTTATTTACAGGATATATGTCACAAGTTTTTCTTTGATTGTTTGAGATCAGATCCACTAATCTTCTAGATTACATTCACTTCATCATTTTCTTTGTCTATAAATATCATCCTTAAGCCAGATTTCTTTTAGAAGCATATTAGGTGTTTATAATTTAGTTTCTACTGAGACACATGAATGTTATGTTGTGTGGCTTTCTCAAACGAAAATATGCTTGACACTGATATTTTAACAGTAAAAACGCAGCATGCGGGGTGGCTTAAGTAATGTATTAAGTCTATGTATATTTTAAAATATTATTCAAGGAGGTTTGACAGTATTGACATTTAAAAAGTCAGCACTTGGATTAAATGTAGCTGGTAGAATTAATTTGGATTTTAGTTAAGAGTCTGAGGACATCAAGAACACTGTTTATCAGTTTTGTAAGAGAAATGCACACATTCCTCAAAGGTCAGTCTTTGGTCCTCTGATTCACTGTATATGCTTTTCCTTAGCGATCTCATTCATTCTATTTCATATATCACCTCTCTGCCTTTGATTCCCAAATTCATCACCAAGCACTGTGTCTCTCCTAAGCTGTAGCATTAATTTCCATCTATCTGTCAAACATTGGATCTTCTGCAACTCCATGTCTGGAACTGGGTTCACATCTGCTCAGATCAGCTTCTTCCTCTTACATCCCTGTTCTGTTCATTGTACTACCTACCAGTTGCCCACACTCAAAATTCTGGTGTCATCCTTAATTCCTGGAGCTCCCTGGGTCCCCAGTCCAATCAGGCAGCAAACCCCATCCATTCTTTCTTAACAATGTCTCTTGCAGCTGTACCTTTCCATTTCTGCCACCACTATGCTCATTTACACCCCTATCAATCCACACAGGACTACCACGACAGCCTAATTAATCTCACAGCCTTCTAATTGTTGCCATGCTTCCAGATTTTCCAGTTGATCCTGCACATTCTCTTCAAATTCATCTTCCTAAAACACCTGTTTGATCATTTCATCCCCCTGATAAATTCCTTAGCCTGACATTTAAAGGCCTACACAATCTGGCCCCAACCTGGCCTCGTGCACCTAAACCCTTGGCTCCAGCCGGTCCAGGCTGTTCACTGCTTGCTGGGTTCTCTCTGCTACCTCCTGCCCGTCCTGATCACTCTCTGGGGATGCTCCCTCCCAATGTACTGTCTTCCCCTGCATTGAGACTTCACTCTAATTAAACCTGCTATTTGGAGCTAGTCCTGACCACTCCAGATGGCAGTCATTTCTCCTCGTGAGTGATTAGATCTATGCCCCTCCTCTGGCACAGACTCAGAAGTGACTTTGAGTCCAACAGTAGGTCCTCATATTGTCTCATTCTTGCACTAGAACTGAGTTTCTTACTAGTCTGAGCTGTGCCATTGTTCAAGTGTACTTGTCAATGGCTAAAACTACTTTTTGGGAAAGCCTCACATTCATCTCCAAAGGACACCTTTTGATCCCTGCAAGCACACTGGCTTTCCTTTTATGGCTAGACCTAAGAAGGAAGAAGCACTCCTGGGCCTGGACAGCTGCAGCAGGGGAACTGCTTGAAAAGTAAAGGTGTCAGGAAGATGATTTTACTCATTCCAGTGCTTCTGGGGGTCTTCCTTAGTAAGCTGGGGGTGAGGGCACTGCATTTATGTGCAGGAGCACAACGTTGCCCTAAATGCCACAGGGATCACTGGGGTCGGAAGGCAGGTAGGGCTAGCTGGCCTGTCTGTCCTGGGTGGCTTTAGTCACAGCTGTCCCTGGATGTGGTGAGGTCAAAAGTCTTCAAGGATAAGCAGCACACGGCTGAGCTCTCTGGCAGGAAGACCAGGGAAGGACCCATGTGGGGCTCTCTCTGCCCAGTTAGAATGAGAGTTTTGTACAATCAGCACCTACACCTCTTGGACCCCAGTGGCATTGCCATATCTCACTGGGTATACCAGTAGCTTTCTGCTGGGTGTGCAGGATTGTTAGGCATTAGCTCTGAGCCACATTATAATTTGATCCCTGTGTGTTCATCAATAATAACATTTTCCCACTGAATGAACTGCATTGATCTGGGATGGGACAAGTTACAGATTCTACAGAGGGCGGCACCTCAGTTGGAGTGAGGAAGGAGAGTCAACAGGTGGATGGGTGTGGAGAACAGCACTGCAGCCCTGCCTCGGACAGTGGCAACCCTGAGGATATTTCTTATCAAACTTGCATGCAGACAGTCCCAGGCACTACTGTGGATGAGATTTGTATGTAAATCCTTTTCTGCCTCAAACCAAAATGAGTATTTCAAAATCAGTCTGCTTAGAAAAGCCACTGGCCTCAATGCACTGAGCATTGTCATTAATTGGGAGCGGACAGCTAGTCTTTCACATTTATTTATTAAATTTTTATTTTTTTTGAGACACAGTCTTGCTCTGTCACCCAGGATGGAGTGCAGTGGCGTGATCTCAGCTCACTGCAAACTCTGCCTCCTGGGTTCAAGCGATTCTCATGCCTCCCGAGTAGCTGGGATTACAGATGCCTGCTACCACACCCAGCTAATTTTGTGGATTTTTTTTAATAGAGACGGGGTTTCACCATATTGGCCAGGCTGGTCTCAAACTCCTGACCTCAAGTGATCCACCTGCTGGGATTACTGGCATGAGCCACTGCACCCTACCCTACACTGATTTCTGATAAGATGGGCTGGATGTGGTGGTTCACCCCTGTAATCCCAGCACTTTGGGGGACTGAGGCAGAAGGATCACTTGAGCTCAGGAGTTGGAGACCAGCCTGGGCAACATAGTGAGACCCCGTCTCTTAAAAAATGATATGTGAAAAGATACTCTTTATACCTAGAGGTAATTGAGAAGCTCAAAGTGAAAATAGTGAATGGACTGCTTTTAGGTGAAGGAAAAAAGAGCAGATTAATATAAATCGGAAATGGCCCCTTTGGCACTGTAAAGCAGCTGTCTCATCCTTGGATCACGCTGAGCTGCAGATCTTCACGGCCTTGACACCCACTCCACCCCAACTGTGCTAGCCCAGCTTTCTCTGTCTCCTGCTCCCTCTGTCCTTCCCTTCCCGAGACCTGGCCATTCATTCCCCAGTCATAGACAGAAGCACCCTTGTATCCTGAAGGCTGGGCTTTCTGGCATACTAAGAAAACAGTCTCCTTCCTTTCCCGTTTCTAAATTAGAAGGAAAAAATAACACTCCCGAATCAGACTCTGCTTTCATGTGCTGCATCCCATAGGGGGAAAGGCAGAAGGTGGTGATCAGCTCCACTGGGGGCAAAGCTTGTTTTCTCAGGAGCAGCAGCCAGGCGTGATTCTTTCTCAAACACATGGTGTGTAGACTGGAATCAGGCAGCTCTGTGATAGTTTTGGCCCAGCATACAGGCACCAGCTTAATGAGCTCCAGCTCCAAAGAAAGGCCCCTTGTGTTCCTAGTGGGGAGGAGTGTGATCCACGGGACAGCCTGAGGAGTCCCCTGACTCGGGAAAGACTTGGCAGAAGGAAATCTGAACCTAAGCTGCCAGGCCTCAAACCTGGCAGTTTGAGAAGGTGTTACGTGGCTTCTATCTCAAAATTAAATTTAGTATGACACTCTCCTTCCAGTTAAATGGTCTACGTGAATTCTTTAAACGAAGCACCCCAAAACCACAATAACCATTTAGTACCTCTCTCCATGGGCCAGGAAGTCAGACAGGCCACAGTGGGGATGGCTCCTCTCTGCTCCACCATGTCTGCAAGTTCACATGTCTGGCAGTTGATGCTAGCTGCTGACTAGGAGCCTAACTGGAGATCTTGGCAGAACACCCACACTCAGCCTCCACTCACAGCCTGGGCTTCCTCACAACATGGTGTCTGAGTTCCAAGGGCCAGTGTCCTGAGAAAGTGAGAGAGGCAGAAGCATGTTGCCTT